AGACTTGGGAAGGGAGATATGAAGTAGGAACAGTCCTATGCAAGGAAGCCTTGCTCTTATTCACAAATATCACATCAGTTTTCCCTGAGTAAATACTCAATTTGGTGTTTGCTTTTGGTTGATTTTCTGAAATAGTCTTTAACAAATTTATCTAATTTAATATTTGTTTTATGGAGATATAATTATTTACCGACTTCTTTATTATATGAAAGTCTGCAGATTCACTTCTGTCTACTGAATTCAGTAGAAATTCTGTTTTCTGGATATTTGAACAATTTATCTTACAAAGAAGTAGTATATTGTAATCTAAATAAAATGGTAGCAATCATTTGATTGCATTACATTCTGTTATCACCCTGCTAGGTGTTTTTCATCGGGATGTATATGCCACAGCTCTGCAAGGTAACCAATGTCTGCATTTTACAGGTACAAATACTTAGACACAGGGAGGTACATGGCTTGCCCTGTTGTGCATTATTAGTGGTGTCATTTACGTTACCTGTGTTGACATCGACTTAGTTTGGGTATAAGGAGCAAATCTGCAAATGGCATTTTTAGTCATTTTTATCTCAGAAAATCAGCTAAATTTGATTCAACCAACATTTATCAAGAAGTTAACCAGCATTAAGCAATGCCCTTCACACTTTGCAGAAGTGTAAAGGACAGGGCTGCAGGGAGGAGAACTGGAAGAGGGCAATGTAAAACACGGTATGGAAGGCAGAAGAAGGCGTGGTTCCCTCTCTCAGGGAGTTCATAATCACGGTATTCAGCCAATTGTAAAACAATCGACCTAGTCAGTGTTTTGACACAGTGATGCTCAAAACTTAATGTGCATTCAGGCTACCTGTTAAATTACAGATTCTGATTCAGTGGGTCTGAATGGGACCTGACATTTTGTATTTTTAGAAAGTTTCCAGGTGATGGAGATGCTGCTGATTTATGGGTCACACATTAAGGAGCAATGCTCTGGTATGGATATAGGCAAGGATTTATAAGATCACACAGAAGACATATTAATTTTGCTATGGTTAGTTGAGGAGGAAAACTTTGTTTCAGAGAGATTAAATGATTTGCCCTTTAAAGCTATTTTTTTATAATGCAATTGGATGTACTTTGGAACCGAATAGCATTTGATCTGGGCCTAAAATGATAAATAGAATCATGATAGGAACACTCACCTTTCCAAGTAGACAGGGAAACTTTGGCATGACATGGAAATAATCTATTTATGTATGCTATTAATGGGAAACACCTTTTCAAAACAACTTTTATTTTTGCTGGTTTAAGCAGTATCCGGTTAGGCATAGTTTCCAAATATGAGGCTCTATGCTAGGGTGATGCTTGCTACATAGAAGGGCCCCTTAATCTCAGTGTCTTAAGATGATAAAAGTTTATTTTTTACTCACCTAAGAAGAGTTCAGTAGGGATGTATGTTCCTAAGACATCTTCCCTCTTAAATAATGATTTACTGACTTTTACCTTACCATTCACCATATTTGATATGTTACTTCCAAGGTCACCATACATCTTTTTTTACTGAGCTTGCTGAACAGTAAACAGGGTAGAGAAGGCAGTCTGTTTCTTACCACCTTGCCATTGGAAGGGAAACTCATTGCTATTTCTCCCAACGCAGTAAACTGTCACGGAGCTCTATCAGATCCAAGGGGGAGGACCTACCTAGGTGGAGAGATGTACCTAACAATTAGTTGTCAGTTCTTCTCTGGAGTGAGTATGGGAGATTGGGTCTGGAGAACAGGAAACTGCAAATTATTAACATGTATGATATTTTTTTCACATAAGAAAGAACTTATAAATATTATAAAATAGCCTGTGATAGTACTATAGTTTCTTTTTTTAAGATTTATGTATTCATTTATTTTTTAAGAGGGGAAAGGGGGAGAAAGAGAGGGAGAGAAATATCAGTGTGTAGTTGCCTCTCACGTGCCCCCTGCCAAGGACCCTGCCTGCAACCCAGGCGTGTGCCTTGACTGGGCATTGAACTGGCAACCCTTTGATTTGTAGCCCAGTGCTCAATCCACTGAGCCACAGCAGCCAGGGCTGTACTGTGGTTTCTAATCTTACTGATTTTGTTAAATTATATACCTCTTTGTGAAGAGACGGATAGTTTAAGTTTGTTCTATAATTAGAACTTTTAACTTGGTTGTTCAAAAGATAATTTTCTCAAAGTTCATGTTACCCCCTGAACCCTCCCCAAATATGCAAATGAAAAAGAAGATGAGCAGAAAGAGAATTTTTATTCCTTCAATTTTCTAGTGCTTGCTCAAACATGAAAATAAACAAAATAAATTAAAAACAAAATTTAAAAAGTGTATCTTTATTTCAAGAAATCATAAGTAAAGCACATTTTCTGTGTCACCGTAATTCAGGGAAAAGGATTAGGCCAGAAGAAGGAAAACTTGCCTCTAAATCAAGCCCAGGCGTTTTGGGTCCAGTGGCCTCAACCTGAGTTTTGTGAGCTCGAGTTTTCTTGTCTCAGTGATGGGGGGTCGGTGTCTGTTCCCTCTCCTGAAGTGACTATTATAGGAATAAGAAAAATAAAGCGAACATATACACTTTTAAAACCAAGGAAAGTACTCGTTCAATGTACAATTTTCAGGAGAAAATTTTTCCAGAATCAACATGACGTGAAGACATCTGGATAACAGCATTCCATTTGATCAATTGTCCACGATGCTTATCATATTTTTAGTAGTAAGCAATGTAAGAATAAAATCATCTTTGGCCATGTCATATTCTTTTAAAATGTTCCCTTAAAATATTAGAAAAATTATTGTAACATTGATAGCAAGATTCATTTTAGGACAGGAATAATCTTTCTTTTGTGTTTAAATAAACATACATACTTGAATGATAATTCTATCATCATAATTTTATATACAATTAGTACCATTGTGTTTTATTTTGATATTTGATAAAATAAAAACTGGATATTTTAACTACTTTTGAAATCGACAGACCTTTATTTTCAGAAATTTAAAAATCAGGCTTAGATTGGACTATTCTGTTTAAAAAACATTTACTAAAAATACAGGTATTTGTGGAAGGATAAAGCATTACTCTAGGCTTGAAACTTCCTTTTCTCTCACCTTCTTTTCATTCTTTCTTGTTAAACCAACTGTAAATAGCTTCAATCTATAAACAATGTAATGCACCTCTCATTTCTATGTGCTCATTATTTTTAAACTGTGGTAAAATCCAAATAACATAGATGTTCCCATCTTGATCATTTTTCAGTGTAGAGTTCAGCAGGGTTGAGTACGTGGGGAGTAAAAAAGCCATAGAGATCTAAGTCAGTATAATGAATATGCACAATCATAATGGACTACAATTGTGAATTTCTTTTTTAAAAAGGGCCGCATAGGTCTAACTGGGCTTTTGATGGACCACTGGGAACTCTGGAGCAGATACCACAGATCTGAATGCGCACAGCAGTATCTGCGCATCGGTCACAGGAGCCATTTTTCGTATATAACTTGCTGATTCAGTGTGAAGTAACACTAGTTAATTTGACATTTACTAATTTATTTCAGAATTGGATCAAATCCTAACATTTAAAAGAGGCCATGCTGTAATCTTAGCTATTTAAATAGATAACTAGGTGAAAATTTAAAAATAGGAATATTTTTATTGAAGAGTACAAAATGCTTCTGGCTGATCCCTGCTGGAGATTTCCTGTGTTTTTAGGACATTTGCTAGGAAGTAAGAGTTATTGCTTTTGTTCATAACTTGAGGTTCTCAGAGAGCCACTGAAGGGCTTGCATCTTCCCCTGGAAATCGTTTGATTGACGTTCAGCTGACATCCAGAATCCTGCAGTGTCCTTGGCCAGACCAGGGTAGCTCTGATAGGAGACTCCTCAGAGAACAGGGCCTTCCTGAGATTTGCCTATTCCTTTTCAGCCACTTAGAAGAAGGTGTGTATAAAGGTTTTTTGAATTATATTTCTCAATCATTTATTTTCATTCTGGAGACCTTCTGCTCCCTCCCCACAACATCCTATTTTCACCATGTGTTATTTCCCAGGCACAATGAGGCCATTCCAAGATTTAAGAAGACATCTTTTGTTCTGTGAGCTTATGTGCTATCACAAAATAGGTAGACACCAAAAGATTATATAAAATCAGTACTGTAGAGGTTGGTAGGGATCTACTCAGGGTTGAAGAGGTTACAGAGAGTGGGTGCCTCACACAGCTGGGAAAGGAAGATAGGGAAAGCTTCCTAGACATGAGAGTAACTTGGGACAAGGCCAGAAAGAGAAGGGGAAGTCTGCCAGGCAAAGAGGATAGTAGAGGATGGAGGGCCTTGCTGGTAACTGAAACTCAGCAAAGGCACGATATGAGGAGAAACTTGGAGAGCACTAGGGAACTGCAGGTAGACGTACTTCCTGATCTGCACCCGTTAGGTAGTTAATATTTTCTAAAGATGTTTTTATCACCAAGGAATACTTACTACTGCTTATTCAGGCTTCTACTAGATTCGTTACATTTAGTTCTTTGGCCATAGTGTGCATAAAATAACATCTGTTTATTTGGGGTTGACGTAGTGGGAAGGCTATGAGTCAGAATTATATGCTCCTGGGGTCACTTCCCAGCTCTGCCACCCACTCATTACATTACCAAGGACGAATCAGTTAAACACGCAGAGCTTTTGTTTCTTTATCCCTGAAACAGAGATAAAAATAGCTACACCATACAGTTGACTTTAGGATTAAATAACACGTTTTTAAGGCTTAAATAAGGTTTAATAGCATGTTTTTTAGGATTAAATGACATGTTTTAAAATAGTATGAGTCCAAACTAGCCCCTCAAAAGATTGGCAGCTTTTACTATTATATTGGTTGGTGTGAGTGTCAATTTGTATTTTTAAACATTAAAACATTGAATTCAGTAGTCATAGAAAAATGAAAATATTATTTCATGTATGTAATTTACTGAGGCTTATATATTCGGCTTTTTAGTCATGTTTTGTTTGTTTTTGAACAGGCGAAATCTCAGATATTAGCCAATGTATTAGATGTCGCCCATCAGTTTATAAAGGAAATTAATCCCAATGAATCCAAAAGAGAAAATCACTGTGCAAAAGACACTGGTAAAACCCAGAATAAACCTCAATCACCTCTTCTGCAGGGGAGTAGCTCCGAGGTAAGCTGAAGAAAACACAGTAGACATTTTCTGTCATATGTGATCATGGAGACTGTCATGCATATGCTGACCTGGAGATGTAGAATTTTGCAGATTATTTTATCACATTGTTGTTTAATATGAATTTGTTTTTTTATCAGTCACAAACCTCTTGACTATAAAGATCCTTTTAAGAGATTGCCTTGATTCCACTGAACACTGATTTTTTGATGAATGATCTCTTGCCCGTGTGGCTTACTTGGCATTTCCACCATGTCAGGAAATAAATGAGGATTTGAGGAACATAAAAGTAGATAACACAATGCAATATAATGATTTTATATTAATCAGAACTTTAGACAGGCTAAAATACAAAATCTTGCCAAATGTTTTGGTGACAGTAAATCTGCCAGTTGTTTAACATTGGATTTATGACAAATGGTGGTGGTTATTGAGATTGATTACTGATCCCACGATGTGCGAGATAAGCTTTCACCAGCTCATGTCCATATTTTTATAATAGACTTGTTATATTGATTTTTTTTAGCAAAAAAACAAACTTCTTCAGACTTTGATCTATGTAGTCATCTTCATTCTTTTAGATGCCACTCACCTGTTCATTGCAGTTCAGAAACAGTGTATAACTTGCCCAAAGTCACACAGCTTGTTACTTGGTGACAGAGTGAGGCTTGAATTTCATCAGCCTGTTGAGTTCCATGCTCATAGAATATAAAAGAAAATGTGCTCTATGTTAGTGGGACCTCTTTTCAGCAGAGGAACTATGCTTGAATTGTCCAGGGAAGTCAGCATATTTTAATGGATTTCATGTTCTAATAGACCCGCCATGGGTGTTTGTGAGGAATTGCTGAACAAGTCAAAACCTCTGGATTATAATAATATATTGAAGACTTACAATGTGCCAGACACTGTCCTAAATATTTCACTTGTAATATCTACTCCTGTCCTTTCTTAATTCTTTGTTCTAGATGATAAATAGTAGCAAAAATCAATTTTTATAAAGCACCCAAGGAATTATTGATAGTGGAACTTATAGTTGAATCCAGATCTTCTGATTTCAAATTATTTGCTTTTAACCACTACTCAAAAACTGTGGTTTTAAGACTTCCTTTCATGCCATTTTATCTAATTTATCCCATTGGCAATAATACTGATAAATCAACAAGTAAACACCTGATGCTTGGCATTGTGCTTAATTATTTATCTGCCTTATCTTACTCGGTAATTACAAAAGCCATATATTTTGCATTTTTTTTTAAGATTTTATTTATTTATCTTTAGAGGGGAAGGGAAGGAGAGAGGGAGAGAAACGTCAATGTATGGTTGCCCTTCGTGTGTCCCCTGCTGGGAACTGGCCTGCAGGGAACCGGCCTGCAACCCAGGCATGAGCCCAGACTAGGAATCAAACCGTGATTGTCTGGATCACAGGCCCACGCTCAATCCACCAGCCAGGGCATGTTTTGCATTCTTATTCCTTCACTAAAGTAGCCCTACTAAAAAGCTATAGAGTTATTGCTTTGCTTGGACTTCTAATCCCTACAATAAATGCTGCCTCTTGTCCACATAAGTGACTGATGTATAGACCCTCCACCCCTCATCTTAAGAGCCTTTAATTCAGTGGTTTCATCTAGGGGTATATATTTGATCAACTAGAGAAACATTGGAGAAACACACAGAACTGAATTCAGTACCTCAGGGGGTCAGGTCCAGATGTGAGGGTTTAGCACCTGGTCAGTAAGTCTGGTGAGTATTCCTGGTTGGTAGTCCCTGCTATTGACCCTCAGGTGTGTACCTGTCTGTAGTGCACACACTGAAGAGATGCCCCCTCACCTGTGTGCATGGTACTCTTCTGTATTGAAGAGCTGTTGCTATCCACCTGTAATGAGCATCAGAAGGAGTGGCTGTGCATTCCTGGCCGGCATACCTTGTTGCTCAAATTTTATTTTTTTTTACAGCCCACGAATCTGATTTTTAATTAGCCTACCAAGCAATTCCAAAATGGAGCTAATGCCTAATGTCTGTCTTAAGACTTTGCTTATGGATTCAGGCCACTGGACATCCTTTGAAAAGGATGCAGTTCATGAAAGAGCTTTGAAATACTGATCCTGATTTTCTTATAGCTTTCATAACATCATACTATTTGCTTAGTCTTTTTGATCCTCTGTTTCCTCTTCTGGAAAGTGGGGATATGTGTATAAAACCAGAATTATCTTCTGGAGGGGATGCCCCTTGTAGTATAGTCTTCCTGCTAAGTGAGTGTTCTAGGAACCCATCTGTATCAGTGTACCAGCTGGTAGTGTTGTGAGAGGCTGCATTTGGTTTCAGATAATTTTTTTTGAAGATTCTTTCAACGTGTTTGTCCATTTATTGAAGGTTGATTTATGAGCCCACCTGCCTACACTGTGCTGAGTGTTCTGCAGTTTTTGATAAAAAACAGCATGACCTCTGTGCCCCACCATCTCCATTCACCTCATTTTGCACCAAATGACTGTTAAATGCTTGTTTGTTTCCCTGGATGAAAAAAAACCTCAAATGGAAACATTTTGATGAAGTGGAAGTGGTGAAACAAAAAAAAGGCAGAAGTACTGAAAGGCATAAAAATAGATGAGTTTAAAACTGTTTTGAGCAGTGGGAAAAAATGTCTTGATAGGTGTGTTGTATCAAATGAAGACTACTTTGAAGGTGGCTGAAGTTTAAACATGTAAGAAAAAATACACAATTTTTTTAAATTCCATTTTTGGATCCTCCATATATATGTGCACATATATATTTCTACATGTGTGTATATATGTATATGTCTGTACATATAAGAAGTGGGGTAAACATATCTTGCAGGGAAGGCTGTCATTTGGCCCATCGAGGTAATGTTGTACAGTACTGCTTCTTCACATTTTCCAGCCCTTTCAGAATTGGGCAGCGTCCTGCTGGGCGCTGAGTGGAAGTGACATATGACAGTTCTGGGCTGAAACAATGAAGAGCTAAGCACAGTCCACTGGCGTTTTCCTATCTTGCCACCACTGTGTGGAAGCCAAGTAATCCAAAGGCATAGCTGTAAAATTCAAACATCTTCTATCACGGACTTATTGCTTGGAAAGGAGCCGCCCTGCAGAGCTGCTAGAATGACTGCAAACTTAATCCATTTTATAATAAACATGGAGTTCTTGATGCTTTTTCCTTAGTGCAGTATACATACATGTACATGCATTCACTCACATGATGCTTACCGGGTACCTGTAGTTACCTTCCAACATACTTCTAAAACTCAGCATTTTCAAACCAAGTTCATTATTTCTCCTCCACAACCTGTAGATCTTACTGTCGGTGTCAGCCTATCTTCCAGCTTCCCAGGCTGACAAGAACAGTTATTTTCTGTAGTGCTTTCTCTCCCCTCTGTACACCCATTCAGTGACTGTGTTCCATGCAGTCTAACCATCTAAAAGCTCTCTTCAATGTTTGCTCATTTTTATTCTTACTGTTATCCCAAATGCTGAAGTTAGGTTTTATTTAAAGTACAAAAGGTTTATAGAGTGTAAATTTCATTTCATTTTCTCCCCTTTCAAAGGTTTCCAAATTTGTATGTATTTATTGAAACCAATAAAGATTACTATATTTTGCATATTGCTCTGAAAACATGCTTTTTAAACCTAACAAAATATTTTGATATTCTTGAAAGGACATTCTAAAACCTCATTCTATATAGTGGCTGTAAAATACTTCATTTTTTTGACTTTTAAAAATCTGATTGCCACTGACAAACATTTACACTGTTTCAGTTTTTCCAGTACAAACTATAGTATAAAGAATAATTTGGGAAAATGTTGTTTGCCATATATATGTATATTTACATAATAAATTATTGAAATTTCTAAGTGAAGGGGTTAATGCATTTGTAATGTTGATATTTCCAAATGGCTGTAACATTTTCATTGGTTTCCTTGCATCCATACTCACTGTTCCCCGATTTCTCTCTTTCCCAGAAGACTCTGTGGAACTAACTCTTCAGGGGCTTGTGTTTCCAATAAGTGTAAGCCTAGTTTACTCTGTGTGGCAGGCAGGATCCTTCCGATCTTCCCCTCTTTGTCTTTCCACCCTTTATTTTTTCATATCCCACTTTTCACTATAACGATATAAACTACTCGTGGTTTCATGCATTTGTGCTGTTTGGCTCCATGTCCTAATCTATGTGTCACTCCCTCTTTCTGGTGTCCTGCCCCTGCCACTGCTTGCCCATAGACTTCTTGTCCAAGTTCAATACCTGCTCCGGGCCCCTGTTTCTGTTGTGGCCTTATTAACCTGTGTTTCTGTGGCCAACAACTAGCATGGTGTCGGTCAGGTTCCCAGATCCTTTTTCTTTATATTAAAAATTTTTATACACCTATTTAATGATCTTATCTCAATCGTACCCTAACAATCTGCATGTTTACTTTGCAATTAAAGACTGAACATAAACATAAAACATTCTACTCTTGTATCTAGAAGATACACAATAGAGTTTAGCAATTTGATATCAGTTATAGATAATCCACACTGGATAATTCCACATTGGTGTGGAATATATTTTTCTTTTGTTTCCTAACTTGGATGTTTTCTGTGCTTCAGTGAATAACTGTCAGATCCTACCTGTATTTTCTTATGTGTGTTCACAGTGGGTCTATATTTTGTACTAAATTCATCTTTTCCCATCATTATGCTAAGAAGCAGGCGTTGTTTCATATGCATTTATTTATTCATTCATTCAGCTAACATTATGAACACCCCCTTTGTGCCAGGCATAGCTCTTGGCACTGAGGGGGAAGATGCTTGGATTTTTTTACATTCTAACAGAGAGGGGAAGACAGTAAACAAATAAACATGTAGAGAAATCCACACAGAGATATAATTTTGAGAAAAAATAAAGCAGAAAAGCGATTATAAAGTACGTGTATGGGGAAGAGTCTGCATGGTCATCAGCAGGGTAATCACTTACTCTCTGAGTGGGGGACATCTCAGCAGACAGAAGGAAATTCACAGAATGGCTCTGTGGACACGCGGAGAAGGTTCATTCCTTCAAGGCGTCGGGTACAGCTAGTGCAAGGCCCTCTAGTGCTGGTGTGCAGTGTGGGTTCCCAGAACCATAGAATTTAAGTTTGGTTGGAGCAGGGTGAGTGAAGGGGAGAATGGAAGGAAATGAAGTGGAAGGCAAGGAGTATGAGGTTGTGAAGCCTGTCGTAAATCCTAGTAGGACCTGGGGCTTCATAGAAAGTCGTTGGAGGGTTTTGAGCAGAGGCCTGACATGATCAGACTGACATGTTATAAAACTACTCTTTCTGCTCTGGGGAGGGCTGCCGGAGCAGGAGATTGAAGCAGTAGGAGGGTCACACACAAGGCTCTTGTCACTTCCCAGGGAGAACACTAGTGAGTAACAATGATAAATCCTCAGTTCTGTAGGCTCCCGTTTTAATACCTTCTGAAGAGACCATTTATGATTGCTGATACGCAGTTTTCAAGAAATGAGTAAAGCATGTAAAGAGGCACAACTTTAAAGCATTCTATTTTGAGTTAAAAATGTGTGATTTATAATGCCTCGCGATTAATGCTACCTGCATTTTAAGATACAGAAAATTTAGAAAAGGATACTTAGATACGTTTTTCATTGGTTTAGATGGAAGTTTCAACAACACAAGGAGAATGTACAAACTCAAGAGATAGGCTCCTGTGTGAAGGGTCATTCGATGAAGAAGCTTCTGCCCAGTCCTTTCAGGAAGGTTTAAAGGAATGGAGAACTGGACATCATTCTAAAAATGAGAAGCAGAACTCACCTGCAGCAAAACCAGGTATAGCTATTTTTATAAAATGAATGTTGTAAAATGAAGCCAAACCTACTTATCTCCATTCCGCATGAATATAAATTCGATGTTCAAAACTATTAACATTGGGATAGCAGTTTGGTATAACTTCTCAAAACAATATTCACTGCATGACCACCGATTAGTGGTTTAATATTTATAGAACCCCTGAATTGGGAACTGCAGATGTCTGTGCTTATTTCCTATGTAAATCCAGCCTCTCAAATGCATAGAGAACTGGTTTCTTTCGGCTCCCCTTCTCCCAGAAGAAGGTTTTCGTCAGGAAAACTATTTCTTTATTGGATTTCTTTATTGTAATTACAACACATGAAACAGGAATGTCTGAGAGATAGGGAAAGAGATAATGTTTTTATATGTGTCTTGAAAAATATGTTTCAAATACTGCCATGAACTTCAGGGGAGAATAGATTTGTCTTCCGTTTTTCAAGAAATACTTCCTATGTTTATTTTTCTTTGATGGTTTTCACACCTATTTCCCAGACGCTGAAGAACGGGATGACTGAGGTGCACAGTATCTTTTTGCTTTGAGTTTCTCAGTATCTCTTGAGGAAAATCATGCTTGTAAAAGTATTTGATTTATTAATTTTATTACTAAGAATATTGTAAGAACTTCCAGTTGCTTTTCATTAAAAATAAAATGTTAGATAATAAATTTCAATAATGTATCTTAGTTGACAGCATCCAACTTTATTATTTTTATTTTATTCTTTTTCGGGGGGAATCTCTTTATTATTCTTCCTTTATAACTCAGCATAATTTCTAACGTCAAGGCATCACATACCATCTTCCCATTAGAACTGCATTTTTACTAACTATATTTCTCTTCTTCAAATATTTTTTCTTACATTTTTCTGATATATTAATTTTACTCATATTTCTAAGATTTTATTTGTATACTTTATTATGTGCCTCAATATAATGTTCATTGACTATGTTTTTATGTACTTTTTATTTTAACTTTCATACTTTGATGTACTTTTTACTTTTCTGCTTTGAAAGGGACTAAGTCTTTCATGGAAATATCTTTTTGGTTGCCCACTTTGAAAAACATAGGGTTTAAAGCAAAAGAAGGACTGATTTGATAAATCAGATTAGGTCAAGGAAGCCCAAAAATCATTTAAATTTTAAAAACTTATTTTTCAGTTACATTTTACGTTCAGTATTAATTAGTATTAGTGTCAGGTATACAGCATAGAAAAATCATATACTCTACAAAGTGTTCCCCCTGATATTTCCAGTACCGACGTGGCACCATACATAGTTTTTACAGCATTATTGATTATATTCATTATGTTGTATTTTATACTTCCATGACTATTTTGTAAGTACCAGTTTATATTTCTTAATTCCTTCACCTTTGCCACTCAGTCCTCCGACCCTACTCTCCTCTGGCAACATGACTGTCCTCTGTGTCTATGAGTCTGTTTCGGTTTTGTGAGATCCTACAGTATTTGTCTTTCTCTGACTCATTTATTTCACTTACTATAATACCCTCTAGACCCATTTATGTAAATGGTAAGATTTCATTTTTTTATGACCAATTAATAATTCATTATACACATGTGTAGCACAATTTTATCCAATAATCTATTGATGAACATTTGGGTTGGTTTCATATCTTGGCTATTGTGAATTACACCACAATGAACATAAGGGTGAATATATTCTTTTGAATTAGTGTGTTGGTTTTCTTCAGATACATACTCAGAAGTAGAATCACTAGGTCATTAGGTAGTTCCATTTTTGATTTTTTGATCATTCTCAACACCATTTTCACTGTGGCTACACCAGTCTGCATTCCCACCAATAGTGCATGAGGGTTTTCTTTTCTTTACATTCTTACCACAACTTGTTGTTTGTGGATTTTCTGATGCTAGCCATTTTGACAGGTTTAAAGTGATGTCTCATTGTAGCAAAACCATTTAAAAATATTGTCTCTTATAGTAGAAATAACTAAATTATAAAATCAATACCATGATTATTTTAAAGGACTTGAATATAACAAAAAAGTTACCAAGAAGAAAATATAAATAACCTAATCTTACAATATGGTGGTAACCAGTGTTAACATGTTGGTAAATATTTTTCAGCAGACACAATTACACACACAGGAGCCTAAGTGAGGTAACACTATATGTTAACTTTTATTTATGTTAATGCTGTTTGTTAACTTTTTACTTAATTGTGTCACGGACAACTTTTTATATAAATGCCTATATTGAATACATCATTATTTAGAACTGTTGCAGAATATTCTGTATGCCATGATTTACTTAATCAGGCCTTTATGGGTGGATATTTTGTTTCTAATTCTCACTGTAATAACAGAAGTTACGATGACCATCTTAGCTATTTGTGTACTTGTATAATTGCCTTAAAATAAATTTCTAAATGTAGGAATGTTGCATCAGTGTTGATTTTTAATGAAATTTTGATGACTATAATCAATTGTCTTCTAAAAAATTACTGTTACTTTTATGTCTATTACCAGCGTGAGATGACTTATTTCCCCAAATTTTCTAGTTCTTTAACTTTAGCTAATTTGATGGACATTAAATGTTTATCATTTGCTAGATTTTTCTGTTTACATGTGAAATAAAATTGGCTATTTAAATTTTTTGATAAATATATTTCATTCTTATTATTTGCCAATATTTAGGTGTAAGTAGTATTTTAAACATTAGGGCTATAAAAGATTCCTTTCTTGTAATCATTCTTTTAACAAATAATGAATGCATATTATATGCTCTGTGGGGAGGTGATGTGCAAAAGCAGTCACAATTAATTCTGGAACTTGTAGTTAAGTAGAGGCGACAAGATCAATCAAATGACTCACATAAGCGCCAAAGCCTGCACCAAGTGAAAATTACCGTCCACTGAAGAATCTTGTCAATTTGCAGGGTCTTGTCAATTTGTATCACGTAAGTCTGTGAAGCAAGCAGAGGAAGAGATTTTTAGGAATGTTAGATGAAGGAAAATAACATATACAAATACTTCAGGTTGGGTTTATCAATATAGATGTACTTTGGGCTTTAATGTGTACAAGCACTGTAGCAATGACACTAACGATTTGCTAGGTTGGTTAATTTTAGTCTGAACTTGATTTTGCAGTTAATGACAGAGAGATGCTGCAAGTTGCCTGATACTTTGTTGAGAAACAATGTTGAAGGCCCTGAAATATAGGTGGGAAGGTTGGGACTGATAGTGTGCAACCTACTCAGTCATCTTTAACTGTACCTCTCTGAGGGCCCAGAGGACCCTCTCATTTCCAAGGGGTTAAGCATTGGTCTCCTGTAAAAAGGTTTGTTGTGGTGGAAGATAACTGTGGATGGAGATGCTTTAATGGAGTTGAACTGCTTGAATTCAAAGGAATTGTGGCAACCTGGAAGAGTAGAGGCCAGGTGTTGGCACCTACTCATCAAAGTTGTGGTAGAAAAATTACCAAAATAAGTGTCAGGGAAGAGTGGTAAATAGATTGCTTCATTCGATTATAGAGATCTGTGATGCTAATTAGGGTACCGAAGAATAAAAAGAGCGATAGAGTCTTCTGTTTTACCTATATAAGTAGCAAATTTCTATCTAATGGCAGAAACCCAACTTGAGCCACTGTATTGGAGATTCAGGTTTTTATAAAGTTCCCATAAATGGTATGTCTAATTTGTGTACCTCACTATAAATGACACTGAGTATTTTTTCATATATTTCTTGGCCATTTAGCTTAGTAATATACTTTGAATTTCCAAGTTCTGTAGTTATTTCTTTTCCAGAAATCTCCATCAGTTGTAAACATTTTCGAATAGCAGTTTTAATTTGGTAGTACTTCAGAAACATCTTCAGCATCTGGAAGTAAATGGCCATGTAGCTATAAATTCATGAAGACAGTTGTTCCCTCCAGGTGCCATTCCGAGTTATTTATTTTCTGTTTTCCATAATGTGTAAATATTGTCAGTGGCTATAATACATACCTTCATGTTTGTGTGTGTTTATAGAATATATAATGAATCTATTTGCATTTATTTTTAGCAGCTAAAAGAAGTAGTTGCTTTCAAAAAACCTTGTGAATCATTAGGTTCTTTAATTTCAAGGGATTATTGAAGAAAACTGTCTATAGTCATTTAATAAGTTATCAATGTTCAACACTTTTGCATTATTTAAACCTAGAACTATTGATTATAAATAAATATCAGAGAATATTTGTTAAGTTCTGTATCTTGAGAGAAGTTATGATAATTTATAGAGTAGGTTACATTAAGTATGTATGTTATGTTTATTGTTACAGACTCATTGGAAGAATGTGAAGTACAAACCAATTTAAAAATTTGGAGAGAACCACTTAACATTGAATTTAAAGAAGATAGTATATCCTACATGGAAAAATTATGGCTTAAAAAACACAGGAGGTATTCTCTGAATTTTTGCATTATTAATAAGAAATATAAAAGCTAATTATGTTTTTTGCTAGTGTGACATCTTTTTTGGTAGCTTCATATTTGCATAAATACTTTTAATGCAATATTAAATTCTCATGAAGCTTCTACTGTTCTAATAAGAATTTTAATTCTATTTATATATGTGACACATCATTAGTTTAGGGTTTTCCTTGAGAAATGTAAATGTAAATGTGGGGAAAAGGCCCACAACTGTATAAAATTAATGAATAATAGCAAAATCATATGATAAATGAAAGACCGCTTTGAGGAGGTAGTGCTCTCAGACATTTGAAATTAGCATAAACTTTTGAGGCTATATTTTTCAGAATCTACTTTTAAGCTTAATTAGACCTTTAATTTTATATTTTTATTAATAGTATTCAAATATATTTTATTCAAAGACTATTATCATTATATTCACCATTTTATAAATTATTTAAAATTTAACATTAAATATTAATAAACAACATTTCTTTTTCACAGATCTTAAGGCTGGAAAGTCCAAGATAAATGTAGCAGCAAATTCAGTGTCTGGAGACTTCCAGGTTCACTGATGCCCTTCTCCTCGATGGGTACTCACATGCAGATGGCACTAGGCCCTTTCCCAGGTCCCTTTTACAGAGCACTAGTCCTACTCATGAAGGCTCTACGCTCATGACCTAATCTTCTCCCAAAGGCCTCATCTCTTACTACTGTCACCTTGGAGGTTAGGATTTCAACACAGACATGTGTTGAAGGAGGAGCACAGACATTCAGAACAGAGTTTTCTGCTCCTGGTCCCCTGAAGGTCATGTCCTATGACATGCAAAGTATGTTCATCTCGTTTCAATAGCCCTAAAATTCTTAACTCATTCTAGAGTTAAGTCTAAACTCCACATTCTTATCTACATACCATCTAAATCAGACATGGGTAATACTGAATATACGATTCATTCAGAGGCAAATCGTTTTCTGTCAACCTGCGAATTCAAACACATGTGCTTCCAAAATACAGTGGTGGGAGAGACAACGGTTAGATATTCCCATTCTAGAAGGGAGAAACGGAAAAGAAACAGGTTCTGAGCTACTCGGTAACCCAAGAGGACAAATTCTATCATATCTCAAATCTTGAGAATTATCCCCTTGGTTGGTACTCTGCCCTCCAGACCCACTGGCATAGAGGTCCCACCTTCTAGACATACTAGAGCAGCCTTCTGGAGACACTGTGACAGAAGTCCTGCCCCTGTAGCTTTGCTGGACAGAGATTGAGCCCTGAAGTCTCTGTGTGGCTCTGGCCTCTGGCTCTGTGTGGCCTCATTCCTATGGTGGCTCTGTGCTGGGGGTCACATGCCCATGACTCTCCAGTGGTAGCATCTGGTGTCTCCTCTGTTCTAGGGTCATGGAGATAGCCTTGTCCTTACAGTTTCCCTGGGCATTGCTCTCTGCAGCAACCAAGAGCTCTCTTGTTCTCTGATGGGAGAGATAGTCCTGATGATTTCTGAATTCCCTTTGGGGTCATTCTTCCATTGTATTGGACAGTAGGTCATGGCTTCTGTTTAGATGGCTGACTGATCTCCCTGTCAGATGATCCTCTGGTCCTATACTTCCTGTTCTCTCCTGAATAGGCTCTTTCATTCTTTTCAATACCAGTAGGCTGAGAATGTTCCAAAACTTTAAGTTTTGCTTTTCTTTTGATTAATAATTCTTTCTTTAAATAATTTCTCTCTTCTTGCATTTTACTATGAGCAGACATGAGAAACCAGGACTCTTCTTTAACACTGCTTAGAAATTGCCTCAGCCATAGAAGCAATTTCTTTTTTTTTTCAACTGCCACTTTATTATAAGATGGTGGAACTAATTACAAAATTTAATTATAACTTGGTAGTCTTTAGTTAGGTACCAACTTTTGTTAAAAGTGAACTGCATATTCAAAAGTGATCATGGAGCAGTAAGAAGCATAAGAAACATTTTTGGGGCAATAGATTGTTTTAGTTCCGTCACTAGAAGAAACTCGTTCTCGTCATTTTTAGGTGGGGTAACCTGTGCTGCAGTACAGACAGCTGTGGCTGTGGCCCAGTTTCCATTCAGCCAAGTGTTTCCAGCTGTGGCAACTTGGGCAGATCCATTTACAGAACTGCCTGTGCCAGAGCCTTCACTGCAAGCAGTTGTAGATCTGCAGCGCACTTGGCGATGGTCTCCTTTCTCTGGTGTCCGGAGATGCTCTGCACCTGGTGTTTCTTCACCCACTTTATCTTGTGCTCTTGCTCCTTCCAGCACATCATGTTCTGCACAGAAAGACAGGTTATCCTTTACCTCCTTGTGTACTCTCTGTAGCCATTCCCAGTAAGTAGCCTCTGAGACCATCACAATGTGATTCCTCTAGACATCAAACAGGTAATGGGACTTTTGGACCAGTGCCTGCTAGCACTTCTCCAGATCAATTGCATTCTGGGTGTTTTTTATGGAAAGTTGTTTCACTTCTTTTAATTGGGCAATTTTTTGCTTATTGAGTTTATCAGTAAATTCCCCAACTGAGGCAGCATAGTTTTTTGTTACATAGATAACCCTATTGTTGATATGGCAGAGATGGCCTCTGGACTAACCACATATATTTCCTTGGTTAGAAAATATAGCATAAGCCCAATTCTGAGTACACAGGGTCCCATTACACTGGTTTAAGATAAAGGAACTGGAAGAATTTCTTAGGAATCAGTCTGACAAATTTTCCTCCATATTCAGGGAGAGGTGGTACAGGGGCGAGACTCAGTTGCCCGAAGTGAAAGATCCCTGTTGCCTGCAATACTTCTAGACCGAGGATGGCTGTGTTCTTGAGGGAGGGGGCAGCAATGGTGGCAGCAGAAAGTACCACTTGAGACAGCATGCTCAGCAAGGGTCCACTTGGCATTCTTGGTGTCCCACTGACCTGGATGAGACAGTCTGTCAGGGATAGGAGCAAGATGGTTGCTCCCATATATGTAACTCCAATACTCGTGAATTCTACCTTTCATAAAACCCTAGGACAGAAAACACAATTCAGCCAAGTTCTTCACCAGTTTATTAACATTGATTGTCTTTCTTCCATTGCCTGATAATATGTTTCTTATCTCCATCTGATACCTCAAAATGACATTTGCCATCCAAATTCTTACCAACATTCTGTTCAAGATTACTTAGGCATTCTCTGAGAAGACTGTCTTTTTCTACAGCTCTCTCTTCTTTCTGAGCCCTCACCAGAATGGTCTTTAAAGGTCCATTTAGAGCAATGTAGCCTTTTTCTAGCATGGATTTCAAAACTTTGGTGCCCATGACTCAGCTTCAAAATTTGTTCCTCATTTTTAAAATCTATTTGTTACAACAGCACTCTGCTTCTGATACCAATTGTTGTCTTTGTCCACTGAGGTGTTATAACAGAATACTGCAGAATGGGTGGCTTATAAACAACAAACCTCTATTTCTTGGAGTTCTGAAGATCAGGAACTCCGAGGTCAAGATTCGGAGTCTGATGACAGTCCTCTTTCTGATTCATGGGTGGCTGTCTTCTCACTCTCCTGGTAGGGCAGACTCTGCCCAAATGACCACATCACCCCAAAGTCCCCACCTCCTAATATAATCCTGTGGGATGTTAGGATTTCAACCTTTGAGTTTTAGGGGGACACAAATATTCCCATCATATGAGTTAATAAATATTTCAGGGAGGTACTTTGAGACGATGCAAAGCCTTGCTTTTCCTTACATTTTCATTTACTAATTCTCACATTTGTCAGCAGATTGTCCTGCAGCACCTATTACTCTTTGCTCTGTCGGTGATTTTCTATTTCTTTCATTTCTTTTACATTTATTATTGAAATTCCTCAAGGAAGGATATCCATGTATGCATTCAACTGGTTACTTATGCGGACTCATGGGTATTTATTTTTTTATTAAAATCTGATACTATTCTTTATTTTGTGACTCAAACAGTTTCTGCTTTGACCATTGAGACTCTTGCAGGTTGATGCCTCTCTTCTTTCAACATGGCTTTTGTTTGTCAGTTGGTTTGCTTTGAGTATCTCTTCATTTTTATGGCATTCAAGGTGTATTTATCTGTCCTAACTCAGAAATCACTTCTCCAAAGAATCATGACTTTTATTGTCGGCAATCATGTTCAGAAACCTGTATCTGGGCTCTATCTGTGCTCACTGAGACTCAGGTGTCACAGGTCCCAGGCCTTCTCAGAGAACATCTAGGAAAAAAGTACATCTATTTAAACATGAGTTTGCATTCATACCTCCAGCTCTAAACCAGAATCATGTGGTTCATTACGTTCTCTCTTTGCTTATCTGTAGTTTCTTCCACCTACAGTGTGAGAATTCTGGCTGTCATTATCTACGATGCATTTAATAATTTAACACCTTCGGTATATGTATAGAGTGGTTTCAGAATTGCTAACTTCACTGTGGGAAAAAATTCCGCACCTGGAGCACATTGTTTGTGCACAGTGCTGGCTATGGCTACCCCGCTGTTTGCAGGCACCACCTTGTTTTCCAAAGTTGCTCAGGCCATGATACTCATTTCTTTCCCACCTCCTTTAGAGTGATTTTACCATTTATGGAATACTTTGAAAAATTCTGACTAGCATAATGTCATGTATGGTTCTCTGGGTTTTTATCAATGCCTGAAATCAAGGGTTTCCCGTAGTCCCAAACAGCACAATTCCATCACCTTGACATTTGCTCATGCTTCCCCTTTGTAGTTAGCTCTTCTCCCCCAGCGTATGGCAACCATTGGTCAGTTTCCATCCTTATACATTTGCCTTTTTCTGATTGTCATGTAATGAAATCATGCAATGTGCAGCCCTTGTGTCCTTCATTTAACAAAATGCATTTAATATTCAGACATATTCTTGAGTGAATCAAAATCTATTCCTTTTTATTGTGGAATATTATTTCATCACTGGGATATAAAGTTCATCTATGTAGATGTTGAAATATATCCTGGTATTCCCTGATTGGTTTGGCTCAGTGGGCTGGGCATCATACTGCAAACTGATAGGTCACCAGTTCAATTCCTGGTCAGGGCACATGCCTAGGTTGCATTTCAGGTCCCCAGCTGGGAACATGAGAGAGGCAAACAATAAATTCTTTCTCCTCCCCTTACCCTCCCTTTAAAAATAAATAAATACAATCTTTTTTTTTAAAAGAAAAATATCCTGATTTTTTTGTAATTATGGCTAAATCAGTTATAAATACCTGCATACAGGTTTTTGTTTGAACATAGGTTTTTAATTTCCTGAGTAAATATCTGAGACTCAATTGGCTAAGTTGTATGGTAAGTGTACGTTTGTCTTTCTGAGAAATAGCCAAACTGCCTTCCATAAGACTGCACAGTTTTGCATTCCTTCCTACAGCCTAGGAGTGTTCTGGTGGCTCTCTATTCTTGCCAGTGCCTTGGTATTTTCAGGTTCTTTTTCTTTTGATGGTCACTTTGTTAGGAATGTAGTTGTATAACATTGTGGTTTATTTGCAGCATTTTAAGTTCATTCATATCTTATTTTAGTTATTCCTATGTAGATACTGTTTAAGTTTTATATGTCTCTCTTTTATGAGGCCTGTAACAGTTCTTCAGGTGAGAAACTCAGTGGTGTGTACCTGTCAATTGCCTCCTCTTAGTTTAAGAATTATTACCTAAAAGTAACATGAAGTTTTCTTATCTTTTGTGGTGGCTGCTCATTGATGCCTTTCATACTGAATTTGTTGTTCAATAAAAGAAGCACAATTTTGTTTTTAAATGACCACCATCATTTGTATTTGGACACGTGCAAAAACCTTTAATCTTGGGTACATGAAGTCCTGAGATATGCTGAATAATGAGCATTGGTAAATTTTCTTATTAGAAAATAATGGTTAGTGAACATGTTTGCTACAGTCTTATTTCTAGTCAATATTTTAAAACAGTGATCATTTCTTTTGAGTTATACTTTATGTCTCAATTTCAGATGTTAGTATAGGGCAATCCATTTGTAATTTACAAGCTTGTGATTGTAAATTGATTACAACATTTCTGATGCTGTGCTTCTGAAGAATTTCCCATGTCGATAATGATGATCATGGTTAAGACTTTGTCTTTGCCTATCATTGTCCTGTTTCATAACAGGTTTATGAATATACATTACCTCACATTTTATTTTTTGTATTTCTTTTATTATTTGAATAACTTTTTTGTATTACATGTGCAACCAATGTTAACAAGAAGTGTTGACAGATCTTACTATGTCTTAATGTCTCCAGTAGATCTTTAAAATTCTAGGAAAGTTTCATGAAAGGAAGCATATGATTTTAACTTAAGAGTGTTTAAAGGGTGAATATTAGCAATTAGCTGGTTTTCCTGCTCAAATTCCCCTACTCTTTTTAGTACATTTAATTATCTATTCCATTTGACTATCAGAAGTCCCCAGGGCAAGTTTTTCAAGTACTGGTTCCTCTACCCAACCCCAGACGAATCTTGAAATCAGTGTTTTAGTGGGTGGATATGACACTGCATTTAAAAATGACCTTCCTTGATGGTTGTGGGGCAAACAGCCTAGCAAATTCACAGAGTACCTTTAGGACCACTCCTCACACATTTCCTCAAATGAGTTGGCCAATGTTCATTTTAATTTTTAGGTAATCATATTTTAAAATACCCTCTATATTTATCCTTCATTTGTGCAGCTTGATCTTTTAACAAGGCATAGGTGCCAGGGGTTCAATACCTACAATAGACTTAGTTTATTAACTAACTGGTTATTTGTTCACTGGCAAATCACTTAAATTTCTTGGCCCGCATTGTCTCATCTGGAAAATATTGAGTTTATAATTAACAATCTATAGGGGTTCTTAGGTCCTATGCTTTACTACTTAGACTCTGTCAGTCTTTGGTTCAAGTCTTTACTCATAAAATCAGATGTTTTCACTTCATGAAGAAGTATTTGGGTAATAATACACTTACAGGAATCTGTGATTGAATTTTAATGCAGTATATCCATGTCAAATTGGAAAGATTTGTGATGGCCAGGCACCAATTTGTCTTTAATCTTTACCCTTCAATATCTTTATCACTTAATTAAATTATGGATGTAAAATTATATGCTCATCAAATTTGTTAAGATGCAAAGCTGAATAAAGTAAATATTTGAGAGTGTTCTGATTTATACATATCCTGTACTGGGAAAATGAACATAACTGTAGATTGCCAGGAAACCATCCACTTTATGCCTTTGCAGATGGAGACAAATACAGTATATGGAGTAATGGTTATAAATACGGGCTTGGGGAGGCAGATGCTTTGGGTTCAAATTCTTCTTCTGCATTTATTGCCTGAATGATTTTGAACAAGTTGGTTTGTTTTTTTGTGCCTTGATGTCTTCATCTATAGAATTAAAACAATACTAGTGTCTACTTAATGTATATACTGAGATTAAATGCCCCAAATTAGAACAGAGCCTGATGCATGCTGTTTATGTATCAATTTTACCTCTCACTGTTATGAAGAAGGCCCTGACCTTTTTATGGGGACTGCATTAGATCGTTTGGTCTATAAGGGCTGCAGCCAGTTTTATCCTTGGTTAAAAAGGAAACAGCTTCCCATAATTTGGGAATAACCTTTGAAACCAGATGCACACTCTTGACCTTTGAAAATCCCTATGCTTCAATCCCTTCAACATGAAATGAGCCACATCAAACCTCATTATTAATTGGGTGACAGATGCCACAGTCAGAACACTTCATATTCATATCATGGGACCCTTCTGGCTTGATGGAAGCTTAGAAAAATGTCTTCAGGTTTTCCTAAACTTATCAACATAATGCCAAAGCTGTAAGACACAGTGCATATTCATAAATAAATTTGCTTGTTAAATAGTGTAATGTGTTTAATGGGCTTCCTGTGCCTTTTGCAGGAACACTGACTTCTATTAGAACTTTACTTTTCAACCTAAACAAAAAACAGTGGAATATGCATTTTAAAGTGTTATATGATGTTAATTTAATTTACAAAATTATTTTAGTAGATTAAGGTTCCCTTGTGCAATCATACTTTTCTTCTGTAAATTTGAGGTACAGCTGTGATTTCTTTATTAGTTTTGTAGACTCACTCCTTGGTGAAATAAATAAAGATTTTGTCTGGGAAGATTTAGATAATGTATTTTAGTCTTTTAATTCCTTCCTTCTTGTTTTGTAGAACTCCACCGGAGCAACTTCGGAACATGCTACCAGATACGTTCATACCTCAGTGTACACCCACTACTGAGGCACAACATCCTCACACTGAAAGTGATGAAGACAGTGATGGTCAGTTCAGTCCAGATTAGAGATTTTCAAATTTATTATTTCAAATTATACTGTAAGCATTAATCAGCGTCCACTTTTGTTTTTCTTTACTGTACCATTCTCAACTGGACTATGTACCCTTTATCTTCCAATCAAAACACATTCTTTCTTCCCATTTTCTAGATTTACTTTGCCTGATTTAAATAGTTTTGTTTAAAAATTGAATGTTAAGAAAATGTGTATTTTGCCTGCACTAGGGACATTGACAACATTTATATATTTGTGGGCATGCATGAGAGAACACACTTCAAAAAATTTGGCTGTCTTATTTGAACATAGGAAATGATCAGGTAAAGTATATTTTTGGATGATATTATTTTCTAATCTTATTTCCTAGCTGAGGAGACCACACTACAGTGCCCAGCACTTTTTATGCCCGTAGAAGAAGTCAAAGTAGACAGACCTGAAACATCTGTAAAAATAGTCGAACTGGATGATGTAAGTGCATAATGACTACTCATGTTACTTAATAAACGACAACTTCATAACATATAGTTACAACTAGACTTTATTTGCAATAAGCTTTCTTTCATAATTCAACATAATTTAATAGGAAATTTGTAAATGTTTGAATTTAAACATGCTGATAGTAATAAGAGTATTATTTTAGTTTGAGGGTAAATATCTATATTGATAATGTGCCATTCTTTGGAAGCATGTCATATGGAAATAAGAAGACATTTTATTCTTTAACTTATGTATATAAATGTAGTTTATTGCCTGTTGATTTAGGTTTTTTATGTTATCAGGCTTTTAGACACAGATTAGTATGGCATCTAATAAAATATGTATATATTTAGTCTTTTTGAATGTCATTCATATTACTTTCTGTTTAAAGGAAAAATAGTATGAGTATTTTAGAATGTAGTATAATAATTACATGAATACAAACCTCTAGAAGACAACAAGTAAGATCAGCTAAAGCCAGAGCCATTTAGAGCTAGAGCTTCCGGCTGAAAGTTTAAGTTGTGACCACCTCAGTACATTTCTGACTTTCCAGTCACCTAGTAGTTGAATACGCCACTTATCCTCAGTATTTATATTACTGTGGTTGTCGAAGAAAGGTCCTAGAATGTAGGAAGTATCTCACCAATAGCACTTTCTTCCTTAGGTTACTAGCCCCTGATGTGTGTGTGCAGATCTGTGTGCATTGCACCTACCAACACTTTTATTTCTCCTCTGGACAAATGTTAGCCATTGAGCAAAATAGATCTGCACACATGTGCATGTATGTGTGTGTATGCTTGTTACTAATTCTTTATGTATATGGTAAGCTTATAACATTCTGGCCAGAGAACTAAAAGCCTCTCAGTCAATAATCTACTGGGCACTTAGTAGGTACGAAAGGAAACATAAGTTGTTACTGTTGGTTCTGAGTGTGAGAGTAATGATAAAATGAGTGACAGAGCAAATGCCCTCAACCAGTATCTTTTGAATTTGTTGGGTTCTTCTAGAAACTCATGATCTATGACATATAGTCAGAGAGCTCATGACACTATTTATTGAAGAAACTTCTCTAAATATTACTCAAAGTTAGCTGGTTAATATATAGCATATTTATTGAATATACTAATATTACAAAAATGCATTTGATAAGACTAATGAAGAGGAATTTGAAGAACAAGGAAACATCGTACCTTACAAAGTTGAATTAGCTGTTGCAGACAGTCGACAAAGGTAAGGCCCTTCTGACTCACCTTTGAGGCTTATTAAAAACCCACTGAAAATCAAGTATCTTTTTAAATGAGAAATTTATAATGTAAAAAACAACTTTATGTTAGAGTGTATTTTACTAAAGTTGTGTTTAAATTTGGGTGCAATATTGCTGGTGTTTGTCATCATTCAGCAATTTGAAATTTGTCCACAATGATATATTTGTACACTTACCTAACATCTGGGTTATTTAATACATGATTATGAATTTAGGAATTGCTATTTTTTGAGATTGCTGACCAAGGCTGATATATTTCATGAGCTGTGTTCAGTTCTTTAAAGATAACTGAATTTTTCTCACTTTAATTTACTATGAACCCTAAGTAAAATAGATATTACTAAGGATTAGTTTGAGAGATCAAAAGAGCTCCCAAATTATAGATTACTTCCTTAGTAGATTTTACTGCTTAATTAACAAATTAAGTATAATGGTTCACTTGCAAATTTTATAGAATTTTGTCATTTCCAAATGGAAAATAACATCTAGCTGTGTTTGTTAGTAATGTTAAAAATTACTTTAAGTCCCCTTCACTGTTGAAACTTTAGCTAGGATTTCAGATGTTTTGACTACAAAGTATTAAATTGGTTAAACAGCAACCTGAATTTTCTACTGAGTAACCCCTATGCCAATTCTTTGCTTATATGTTCACAACAACTTAAACCCCTGTTGGTATTTTGGAGCAGCAATGGGCTTTTGTGAGGCACTCAGGCCTTCAAAGCCCCATGGTTAGACACGTAGGCCCAGATATCTAGACACAAAAGTGCTTTTGATAGTTGACATTTTGTCAGCAAGTGGCAGACAACCTTCTGGTTGTAAATAAGAGGTGTTTATTCACTGCTGTATCCCTAAGGAAATGAGGGGCACTTCTGCTCTTTAATTTGATTGTTTTATGTATCTTATTACAAATTTTTGCTTGAGCTCCATGTATGGTGTTAGAGAAATCAGAAAAAATTACTGATCCTGGTTTGGCTGTAGCTGTGCATCTTGAGTTTACAAGTGCCCTTGGAGCTTCTTATTTTCTAAGAAAAATAATGAATCATAGGTGGCAATACAAGAAGACCTTTCTGATTAAGCATAATCCATGAGCTTTTATGATGGTACTGTATAGAGCTTACAAAAATATCAGGCATTCAATATATTACTCAATTAATAGAAAATGTTAAATTGTAACAATGCTTATATGTAGTAATCAACATTAAAGATAGAACAAATGCCACATATGCCATTTTAACTCTTATAGTTCATTGATGGACAACTAAAAGTTTATTTAAGTATAAAACTTTGATTTGATGGAAGGAGACTTGACTCCAGGTGGTAAACCCAATAAATTATGCAGAAGATGTATTATAGAATTGTATACCCAAAACCCATATCATTTTATTAACCAATGTTACCCCAATAAATTGTATAAAATACCCTTGATTTCATCAGATGTCAATCAGCTTGAAAGATAACTCTCCATCATTTGAAGAAAGAATATAAAGAACAAAACTTATTCCAGAATATATTGAAAAGAAACTTTCAGTTAAAATTTTGTAGTTAAATCAGTGTTGACCCAGTTCCCTATTTCTTTTAAATCCATGATACTGTTTAGTTACTTGGAGTTTACAATGTGTCTCACAGCAAGGCTAAAACACAAGTGAATATCCCCATTCCCTTAAGGTTTTATTATATTTGTGTTAATAAGCTGGAACTCTTTACTATTTTAACATTATTTCTTTCAACTGTATTCTTTTGCTTGTCTGTAAACATGAAAGTTGCAGGTTTCATGATTATCAGAATGCTTTTCTGTATGAAAAGGACATCCTTCGTCATCATGTTTTTACAAAGGGAAAAACAGACTTCTTACATCTTTATCTAAGCAACATCTCCTACTGTGAAGATAACTCAGAAGGTAACTTTTTTCCTTGAGTAATATTATTAGCAATAAATGTTGGTAATTTAATAAAATAAATTGGCATTGTAGTATATAAAAGCTTTAACTATTTTACTATTCATTTTAAACCCAGAAAATTTAGTACTCAGAAGAAAATTGGTTGAAAATATGCCCAAATTGGAGCTTAGGAACTTTAGAGGACTCTCAGTCTAGTCCAGAAGGTATTTTTTAACTTACATGGAGCATGGTGTTTCAGTTACTTATGGGAAAAGGCTGAATATAAATGTTTATTGAGTGTTACTTTAAAGATACTTAATTTATGTAAATAGACTTTTAGAGCAGTTTTAGGTTTGCAGCAAAATTGAGCAGGAAGTGTAGTGTTCCCATAGACCCTTTGCTGCCACAAACTCATAGCTTCTCCCACTATCAACATCTCCAGCCAGAGTAGTACATTGCCAATCAACAAGCATGCATTGATACATTGTTACCACTGTATATCCATAGTTTACATTGGGGTTCAGTCTGGGTTGCACACTTGGTTACTATGGATATAGTGACATGTTTCCAGCATTACAGCTTCACACAAAATAGTTTTACTGCTCTGAAATTTTTGTGTGTTTTGCCTTCTCAGACCTCCTTTCTTCCTAATCCCTGGCTACCATTGATATTTTTACTGTTGCCACAGTTCTGGCCTTTTCCAGAATGTCATATAGCTGGAATTATGCAATATGTATCCTTCAAATTGGTGTCTTTCCCTTAGTGATATGCATTGAAAGGTGTTTCCATGTTTTATTATGGCTTGAGAGCTCATTTATTTTTAGTGCTGAAATTCCATTGTCTGAATTTAGCACAATCTATTTACACTTGTATGTTCACTTATTGAAACCACCTTGGTTATTTCCAAGTTTTGGCAACTATGAATAAAGCTGTTATAAATATCTCTATGTGGTTTTTTGTTTGGAACTACATTTTCTCCTCATTTGGGTAATACCAAGAAGTGTGATTGTTGGATCATACGTCGTACTTATTTGGTTGTGTGAGAAATCACCAAACTGTCCTCCAAAGTGGCTGTGCCACGTTGCATCCCCCAGCAATGAAGGGCAGTTTCTATTCTCCGTGTTCTTGTCAGCACCTGATGTTGCTGGCATTTCAGATTTTTGCCCATCTAATAATTGTGTTGTGGTATTTCATTGTTGTTTTTAGTTGTAATTCCCTAGAGGTTTATGATGTTGAACTTCTTTTCATATGCTTGTTTCCCATCACTGTATCTTCTTTTATTTATTCATTTTTAGAGGAAGGGAGGGAGAAAGAGAGGGAGAGAAACATTAATGTGCGGTTGCCTCTTGTGCTCCCTCTGCTGGAGACCTGGCCCACAACCCAGGCATGTGCCCTGACAGGGAATTGAACTAGTGACCTTTGGTTAGCAGGCTGGCTCTCAATCCACTGATCTACATCAGCCAGGGCCAATATATCTTATTTGATGAGGTTTCTGCTAAGGTTCTTGGCCCATTTTTCAGCTGGGTTGTCAGAATAACTGAAGAACCAGTCATTCTTACTGTGGAGATTTAAGGGTTCTTTTGTATATTTTGGATAACAGTATTTACCAGGTATGTATTTTGCAAATATTTTCTCCACATCTGTCTGTAGCTTGTCTTCGAATTTTCTTGACAGTATCTTTTATAGAACAGACATTTTTAACTTTAATAAAGTCCAGCTTATCAATAGTTTCTTTCATGGATTCTACCTTCTGTGCTGTGTTCAGAAAGGTCACCATGATACTCAGTATGACCTGCATTTTCTCCACTGTTCTAGGAGTTTTATGGTTTTTCGTTTTATGTTTAGGTCTATCCTTCATTTTGAGTTAATTTTTGTGAAGGGTGTAGGGTCTGTGTCCAGATTATTTTGGGGGGCATGTGGCGGACCAGTTGTTCCAGCAATATTTGTTGAAAAGGTGATTTTTTCCACTAGTGTATTGCCTTGGTTTTTTGGTCAAAGATGGGCTGACTATATTTATGTGGGTCTATTTATAGATTCCCTGTTCTGTTTCATTGATCTATTTTTTATATTTTTGCTAATACCACATTGCTTTTATTAGAACTCATATAGTAATTCTTGAAGTTATATAGTGTAAATTTTCTAACTTTGTCTTTCTCCTTCAATGTTATGTTGGCTATTCTGGGTCTTTTGCCTCTCAATATAATCTTTAGAATAAATTAATCAATATCCACAAAATGGTTTGCTGAGGTTTTGATTGGGAGTGCATGGTGTCTATAGGTTAATTTGGGAAAAACTCACATCTTGATGATATTGAAGTTTCTTAACCATGAACATGGACTGTATATTTATTTGGTTCTTCAATTTCTTTAATCAGAGATTTCTAGTTTTCTCATATAGACCTGTACATAGTTTATTAGATTTAAGCTAAAGTATTTCATTTGTTTGTGTGCTAATGCAAATGGTATTACATTAATTTCAAATTCCACTTGTTCATGTTGGTGTGTAGGAAAGTGATTGACTTTTGTACGTTGACCGTGTATCCTGCAACTTTGCAATAATCACTTCATTCCTTTCCCATTGTTGATCGTTTTGGGTTGTGTACACAGATGATCATATCCTGTATGAATAATATCAGATTTCTTTCTGCAATCTGTATACCTTCTACTCCCTTTTCTTGTTTTATTGCTTAGATAGAATTTCTAGCTCAATCTTTAAAAAGGAGAGATAAGAGGGGAAAACTTAGCCTTGTTCCTCATTGTAGGAGTAGAGCTCTTTGTTTCTCATTATTATGTATGATGTGAACTATAGTTTTTTGGGTAGTCTTTATCAGGTTGAGGGATTTCCCTTTATTTCTAGTTCGCTAAGAGTTTTTTTTACTAATCATAAATGTGTGTTAGATTTTTTTGTGCATTTTCTATATTGACTGATATGATCCTTAGATTTTTCTTCCTTAACATGATGTGATAAATTCTATTGATTTATGAATGTTAAACCAATTTATCCAATTTTTATGACTTAACAGGGCTTCTAATAAATAGGTTAAATTAAATAATGCCTATACTTTCTGCATCACATTTTAAACATTAATAAATAGCTATTTTGCCTCCTTTTCAGCAAAAGATCCTAATAATGGAATTTTGCCACCTTGAAAAAATAGTGTAGAGGTTAGTTGTAGACATTTACATGTAACAATTGGCAGGTGTTTCTGTCAAACAACAACAACAACAATCAAATGATTTCTATTTAAGTTTAGAAGGAAAGTACAGCATTATTATGGAAGTTTTATTAAACTGAATAGCTTTTGTAAAATTGTTCTTATTAAAGCATTTCTATGACTCCCAAGTTATTGCATTTCTCCGAGTATTTGCACAGTGTAAGAGGTGATAGTTGTTGGAAGTGGACGTTGTAAATGCTGCATGCGGTTGCTGAGCTGCATCAGCATTTGCTTGCCACAAGTTGTTTCGCCTACAAGAGAAGTCACATCACTGGAGCCTATTTTAGTCATAGCCTCTACTGTTTTACACAGTATACTTACAGAGATAAGGTGTTTATATTGGAAAGAGAATAAGGGATAATCGGATGAAACTGTATTAAATCTGGAAAATGGTATAAATATTTTTTATTTAAAATGAAAGCACTATAGTGCAAACATTGTTCAGTGCTTTTTACTCTTCAGAAAATCTAGACCAATGTTCACAACCTGGGTCGCACATTATAATCACCCAGAAAATTGGCAGAGGGAGAGGGAACGAACACACAGGAGACAAGACAGTGCTGGGTCCGACTCGCAGGGTCCGATTCAGCTGGTTTGGGGTCAGGCCCACACGCTGACAGTTTTCGAGAGTCCATCCTGATGAATCCATTGTGCTGCCAGATCGAAACCAATGATCTGAACCAAGTGATATATTAAAAGCCAAAACAATGGGGTGTTGACGAATAAAATCTTGCTCATTTTGTAGAGTTCCAGAGGCAGGTGTCCCGGCTTGAACATTCCACGTGCCCCTAACGTCTGCCGTTTGACCTGGCAGACCTTCCTCTGCTTTCTGGTCTCCTTATCACTAGCACGCTAAGGGAAAAAAGTCAAAACGTAGGAGTAAGATCGCGTCTGTGTTACTTCTCTTAAATTGCTGTCATAAAGCGTGAGTGAGAGGGAGGAGGTAAAGTAGAAATTAAACCATGGGCTGCATAAAAATTTGCATCAATTTCAAGATTTCATTAAAAAATAAAATCTTGCTTACTTCTATTAGTCTCTAGCTCATTAAGGTTTGAATGCCTAAGTAAATCATGATTATCATTTATGAACAAAAACTGCATAATCATAACTTAATACTGAGAACTCACTATAAAAATAACATAGTGTTTAATGATACAGGTTTACACCACAGAGCATTTGGGTTAGGACCAGATTATTTCATTTATTTGCTTAAATGTATTTATTTAACTTTTGTAAATGTGTGTTTTTGGCAGCAGGAACTTCAGATACAAAATTAGATAAAGATGTCGACCCCGATGTTTATTCTCCTGCTGTTGAAAAATTAGGCGAAAGCAGCTGCTTTAAAAGACATTTCAAAGAGAAAAGTATAAACGGTATGGAAAGTAATCAGAAGTTGGATAATTCCTGCATGTCATTTGAGAGCAAGGATTCTTTGCCAAGTGTAGCTTTAGAAACACCTTCCATTAAGGAGAAATTTTCACAAGACATTGAAGAATCTTTGGAATTTAGCAATCTTCCTGAGAGGCCAGACTGTGAAGATTCAAAAACTATGGAGTCACCACTGGTAATTTTCTATTATGCTTATTATATTATAAATTTTATAGGAAACATCATAAGAAAATTTTACATTCACACAATATTTTCTTTTTTTTAAAATTTTATTTATTTATCTTTAGAGGGGAAGGAGAGAGGGAGAGAAACATCAATGTATGGTTGCCTCTAGTGCATCCCCTGCAGGGAACTGGCCTGCAGGGAACCTGCCCGCAACCCAGGCACGTGCCCTGACTGGGAATCGAACTGCAATCCTCTGGTTCACAGGCCCGTGCTCAATCCACTGAGCTACACCAGCCAGGGCCAATATTTTCTTAAATGTTACTTACTGAACTTAAAATGTGCTACTATATATAATCATGAGGTAGTTGAAGTTTGAGTTATATGGGAAAGATTGTTAATGACTTACAGGACAGATTCTAATATGGTAAATGCCATTTTAATAAATGGTTTCTATGACAAATAAAACTTGAAGGCCCATCTCATGCACCATAGTAAGAGTGCTGTTACATTTCTAATTGGCAGTGTTATTATGGAAAATTTAGTATAATAAATCCTTTCTAGTTTTTTCACTGTATAGTATCTGGTTGAAATTTTAAAAAGGCACATATGTAGATAGAATCACTCTTTGTGGATTGATGTAAGTATAGGATTTAAAGGAACATGGCTAATAAAGAAATAAGGGTGAAGTTTTTGTTTCTTAGGGAAAAAGGTAAACTAGCTCATTATTGCATTATTGCCAAGTTTTAAACCTACATATAAATTTCTGTTCTGCATACTGACTAATAGTGTTATTGATAATGAACTCTTGGGTAATTGAGCAAGACAAATGTAAAATCCTTTGGAAATTGGGAAGTTAAACATCTGAACAGTCCTTTAAAATCATGTGAAGTGAATCTCCACAGGGCCTAAACTGAAAGTGGCACCAAAAATTGGACTGAATATTGAGCTGGTGTGACTTCTGCTTGGGGATTGGATTTCTGTGCCCACTGTGTGACAGGCCTTGCTTCTTTTGAAGTGTGAAATTGGAACTGAGACCTATGCAGAACCTTAGATCCCTAATAGTCTGCTAGTCTCTGAAGGACTTCACCAGGAGACATATTTGCAGATGCAAGAATGTGAAAGGAAACTGATTTCTGTGGGGCTCTGGGCCAGGTCAGTAAGATATCTAATTTGAAAAATAGATGTCCTGAGTTTTCTTTCGGTTAGCATAGGTTGAGAGTTTGAGTATCCATTTCCTGCTTGGAACTGCCAAGCCACGAAATTAGCATTAATGTTAACCCATGTCTGTCTGTTGATGCCCTGAATGTATCTGACAAAACTAAATTCCAGTTCCTTCTGGGAAGACATTCCCACAGCTTAGATAATAATAGATGCCCCCAAATAAACCCTCACTGCAGATAAGCTGTTCTCTCCCATCTCTCAGTGAAGAAAACAGTTGATCATAGATTGAACTGCTGGCAGAACAAACAAGACCTCTAATTTTCTAGTTTCCCCAGGGCATTATGAAGAGGGCTAGGTGACCCCTGCACATGCAGTGTGTTGTGTTGTGGGAGAGGAAACCTGAGCAAAGAAAACACCATTTTTTTTCTACTGGGCATAGGTCTGCCTGACCTTTGTCCTCGGGGGAGACATCATCTTCCGTAACCTAATGAAAGGCATTTGGCAAAACTCACAGGTACATAAACTGTGGTAATTCATATCCTAGTAGAAAGTAATATAGTAAGTGAAATAAATAAAATAGAACTACATTTATTAACATGGATATATCTCAAAAATAGGATGTTAAAATTGAAATGTAAAATGATACATAGAGTTTGATAGCATTTTTGGAAACATTTACAATGTTTATAACTCTTTATGGATACACTCAAATGTGATAAGTCAGAAATATCACTGGAATAGAGTGTGTCAACTTCAGTGAAATACAATTAGTTAGATTTATAAAGATTAATATCTATTTTTGGTTTAGGAATCAGAAACATCTTTCAAATTACTGATATGAAATTGTGTGATGAAGTTGAATCATGTGTTGTTTGTATCTGTATATTTAAAGTATTTCATAATTTAAAGTGAAATGTTAAAAAGCTACTAATCATATTTTGATCGCTCATGCTACTATTGTAAAAATGGTAAATGATTACATCATAGAGCACAGTGCTTTATAAGTAAGATGCTGTCTTTTCATCCCTGCTGATGGCACACACTGTTTGTGCGTTCCTCCTGCCCTCGTACAAGCCATTCCCTGAACAGAAAGTACTTTAACATCTGTTGTGTTCTGGTGGAAAATTCAAGAGTGAGCAATAGGAGTAATTTTTAGCAATGACATTAATTGACTTCCAAATTAAGCGTAAGAGTTCATTTTGCCCTGGGTTTTCAGAAATTGAGTTCTTCATAAAGGTGGGAGCTCCTGCGGAATTAAGTACTAACAAGCAGCAGTGAGGTAGGATCAGGGGCAGGGAAGAACATGGTCTACCCAGGGGCACTTGGTTCTGGTTCCGAAACAACCAATATTTACTTTGTGAGTTTGGGAAGAACTAACAGACCCACTCTCATTGTTCTTACTTGCCAACCAAGGCTTGTAAACCCATTCAGATTTGCAGTTGCCTAATCCAAATACAAACTCCGCTGGGGCTGAAGGGGTTCTGTGGATTGGATTTTCAGTGTCTGGGAGAACCGGGGAAGATGGATTAGAGTGGACTTGGACTTGTCTTTGAGGGAAATAATTTATTGGTCACTAACTTGGTTTTGTAACGTTTTACCATTGTATGGTTTATACACTTTAAATAGAGTTATAATAATTATCTTTGCCTTGGTTATCTCCTTGAACAGACTGCACTGAGGCATTCATTAGGTCCATTATGGAACTTTTAAATACCAGTCGCCACTCTGGTACATTTTAAGCCCATCTGGAGCTCTCACTTCGGAACCATGAATCATTTCCTACTAGAGTCCTATAGTTTTTTAATGTCCTTATAGTCTTCCCTAGGATGAAAATATATCAAAAAATGAATCATACAGTGATGGAATGAGCCTAGGCATCCAATGAAATAGACCTATATTCAAAACTTAGGTCAGCTAGTTTCTAACCATATAAACTTCTCTAATCCTGCCTCCGTGTCCTACTTGCTTCATGATGAATATTTTGTTAATTTGGACTCTGTCTATGACCATGATCTGATCAAATCTATTCCCTTTGATATTTTACTTTCATTTTGGAAGTTATTTTACGTACAGAAAGAAGTACTAGTTCGAAAACACTGCTTATGAGAGGGATTTGGTTTTCCAGATAATGTATGCACAAAGACATTGAGGAAAGAAAATAAAGGAAGGGAAGGAGAAAGAAAAACTTTGTTTCATGAACTCAGACATTCCTTGGATAGATGGCAACTTTCATATTATTATGTAATTGTGGTTTATACATTTCTTAAAACCTACCATATATAAATGTTACTATTTATGTCCCCACTATTACAATGTAAACTTGATGAGGGAAGAATCCATGCTAAGGACACAGTAGGTGCTCAATAAATGAATGTGCTGTTTTGTGTTGATGAGGTAAAATAAACTTAATTTTGTTGAATATTTTGTTTCCTAGTCATTACAAGAAATAGCCCACAGAAGTAAGCCTATAACTGAACAATATCAAGGACTTGAAAGATTCTTTGTTTCTGACAAAAATGAAAGACTAAACTTACTTCCTCCTCATAACTTAGAACATGGCTATTCCAGCATCAGGACTACAATTGCAGGTAAATTCAGTCATCAGATGGCCTGTGGACCAACCTAACAACTCTCTGACATGATTTTTAAACCAGTCCATCCTCAATTTAGGAAATAGTGGGTGATTCTGTCCAACAAATAAAACCTTCTCATTCTTCTCTAGCTGAAGTCATTAGCACTGTGTGAGTTGCCACCAGTTGGTGTTGAAGACAGCTATCAGAATGACCCATAGCGTGACTATAATGACACCAGGCAGAGATTAGTTTTAGCATTTGGGAATGTGGCCCACTCTAAACTGTAAAATAAAAATTCTTAGACTCAATTTATTAACTATTAAGCATTGTATGATGATTCTTAAATGCCATCTTAAAAGAAAATCCTCAAAATCTCAGGTTCTGTGAGATTTCTGAGACATATCTGTAACTTCCTTTTGAAATGAGATTTTGGTGTCAAGTGTATTCTCAGGTTTCTTATGTGTTCAAATGTGTTTACTCACATACAAATTATTATACTTTATGTTATATGGTTAACTACTTCTTAAATTATTTGTTTCTATTCAAACATGTGTGCAGTATCTTCACAATTTAGAGTTTATTTTTCTTGTTTTAAGCTATGTGAAGCTAATGGTTTTTATTGTGTAATTATGAGATTTTTATCTTTCATAATATATACCAAACTGTCATAAATGTTCCTTATTTAGCTAAATAATATTCAGTAAGACAATATGATTTGATTAATTAATAAAGTCTATAATAAGTAAATAAAGCGACGAAAAGGTTTTTTTTTCTTTTTAAAATTTATGTAATTGTACCATTTTTCTGTCTGAGGAGATGGACACTGGATCCCAGAGCACAGCGTGAGCGCGCGTGCGGACGGCGCAGTCGCCCCGGGTGCGGTGGGGAGTGCCCGGGGCTCTCCCACAGGCAGAGCCCGGCAGAGGACGGGTAAGGCGGACGGAAGACCACAGTGACAGACTGGCGCCTTACTTGATTATTTTGACTTCACCAGTTTACTGGCCACCTGAAAATTAAGTTTTGCATTTTTTAATTTAAACTTAGTCATTTTTAACTAACTGTGCTCTACTTTTCTTCCCAAATGACAACAACAAAAGAAAAAAACCTGAAACAAAAGAAAAAAACCAACCCTAAAGTAGCCATTATTCCTGTCAAACCTGAGTTACAGTCCTAGTTGTTTTCTTCTGTAGCACTGAATTACAGCACAATGTTTTTAAAATGTAGTTCAGGATACGGGGCATGTTTTGAACAATCCTTATCTGTTCAGTTCCATTACACTAAGAGAAAAACTGTGTATTTATACTAAGGTTTGCATACCCTCTACTTGGTTTATATGCAGATCAGATAATGGCTTAAGCTAAGCTTACTGCTGGTAGGCATGGGTGAGACACCTCCATTCTAACTAAACCTAAGGCTGTGTGTGTTAATGCTGGGATCTTGATTTCGTTCATTTAGTCCATTCTCTAACCAAACTAATTGCAATTTTTTCTATAGGATAACTTTTTGATATATTGAATGTTCATTATCCAATAATACCTACTAAAGTAGGTTTCTTTTATGCTGAATTTCACATGAGTTTGCAGTAGATGAATGATGAATTAAGGCAATGCAACACAGATGTGTTGAGTATGTTAACACCATGCTGGGCTGGGGGCAGGGGGAGGATGCATAAGTAATATTCCCAGATAGGTTTAGGAGGAACACTTGGAAAGGGAACTATTTACTTTTGTTTGAAGGCCAACTTCATGCCATAAATTTAATTACATATGACTTGTACAGATGTGTAAGATTTGTATGTCTCTCTTGCCCTAAATCCTATGATTAAAGCTCTTTGGCTAGAAAATATATTTTTTATATACATTTATGTTGTGAAACTGTCAGAGATGAAATTTTTTAATGGAAAAACTATCTGTTTAAGGTCATGTTTTTGGCTGTATTGTTAAGTACCAACACTTATATCAGAGTCGAAATCAGCATAAAAAATTCTGGTTGCTTCCTTCTAAGGCAGTCAAAAGTATTGTTTTAAGTCACTATATAATGTTGAAAACAAATTCACATGCATGCTGTGAGAAATTTGTTACTAAGACAAGCCTTTATACATAAGTAGCCCAATGCCTTTAATTATCTATTTGGAATGGTCAGTTGCAATCAATAATTTAATATAAAAACCATTTGTGAGAGCACATAGTTTAGGTTAGGCAATGCCAGATACTGGTGATAAAAATAAACCTTCCCTAGTGAATGTGTTTCTGGTCAAGAGGTGTAGGTAAACACAGCTTGCCTCCTTGTGCAACAGCAACAAAACATTATAACTAGACTACAAAATAAATATCACCCAGAATTGTCAGAAAATTGAGCTGTATGGAAGTCTAACAACCAAGAAATTAAAGAAGTCACATTCATCCAGACTGTTAGGAGGCGCAGAGAAGTGGAGACATGTGGAGAGGTACAGAAGCACAGAACCGTGGAGATGAAGAAAGGTAGGTCACACACCCATGTGTGGTGGATAAAAATTGGGAGGGATACCTTCGGAGTGAAGGATTCTAGCCCCACACCAGACAAACCAGTCCAATGTTCTACTGCCAGGAAGATAAGTTCCCATAACTTTTGGCTGTAAAAACCAGTAGGTACTAAGGTAGTAGAAGAAACTGCAGGATTCTCAGGAGTCTCCTCTTAAAGAACCCCCAACAGACCTAGGACCTATGCAGACTCACTCCCACTGGACTCCAGCACCAGGCAGCAGCTGGAAGGGCACCAGTGTGACACATGGAGAAATTGAAGTGTCCGGCATCAGGGCAAGAGCCTGAGGACAGCTTCCTCCAGAGGCCAGGCAGCGCTATTGTCCCTTTTGTGAGTCATCTCCCATATAGAGCCACAGAGAAGTCACGTAATATCTGAGATTCAATCATCCCGGTTCACTTGGGTTTCCCGCCCTGGCGATTGTCTAAGGTTTCACCCTCTCATAGAAAGCACACCTACAATCTACCCCATTACAAGTTTGCTTTCCGTAGTAGGGCCACGTTACTAAGACCTGGAGTCAAAGCAGCTCTATTTGTACATAGACACAAACACAAGGAGGCTGCCAAAATGAGGCAACAAATAAATATGGCCCAAACGAAAGAACAGAACAAAACTTCAGAAAAAGAACTAAGCAAAATGGAGATGTAGTGTTCAAAACACCAGTTATCAGGATGCTCAAAGACTTATTGGGTACTTCATCATAAAAAAGACCCAGGCAGAAATGAAGTTTACATTAAATGAAATAAAGAAAAATTTACAGGGACTAACAGTGGAGTGAATGAAGCTCAAAATGAAATCAATGATTTGGAACATAATAAAAAATAATATTCCATCACAACTGCAAGAAGAAAAAAGAAAACAAGAATAAGCTAAGGAGCCTCTGGGGCTGTTTCAAATGTTCCAACATTCAAATAATGTCACAAAGGTATCAAATCATCTGTGTCTTTCTGGCACAAATCATAAGCGTGCCAGAAAGAAAAGAGAAAGAGCAAGAAATGGAAAATTTGTTTGAAAAAATAATGAGGAAGACTTTCCTAATTTGGTGAAGGAAATTGACCTACAAGTCTAGGACGCACAGAGAGTCCCACACAAGATGGACACAAAGAAGATCACGCTATGACACATCATCATTGAAATACCAAAGGTTAAAGATAAAAAGAATCTTACAATCAGCAAGAAAAAAGCAGATAATTATCTACAAAGGAGTGCCCATAAGACTGTCAGATGATTTCTCAAAAGAAACTGAAGGCTAGAAGGGACTGAAAAGAAGTATTCAAAGTGATGAAAAGCAAAGATCTACAACCTAGGTTACTCTATCCAGCAAAGCTATCACTTAGAGTTGAAGGGCAGAGAAAGTGCCTCTTAGGCAACATAAAGCTAAAGAAGTTCATCGTCACCAAGCCATTACTATATGAAATGTTAAAGGAACTTATTTAAGAAAAAGAAGAATATAAAAACTATGAACCTTAAAATGGCAATAAATTCACAAGCATCAACAATTGAATCTGAAAAACAAACTAAGCAAACAAGGATAATGGAAACAGAATCATAGGTAAGGAGATAATTTATAGGGCTATCAGTTGGGAGGGGGAAGGGGGAAAATAAGGGAAAAGTTGCAGGGATTAAGAACTGCAAATTGGTAGGTAAAGAATAAATAGATAGGCGGGTTTTTTTAAGAATACAGCCAAAGAACTTACATGCATGACCTATGGACATGAACTAAGGGGGGGGGTTGCCAGAGGGAATGAGATTACCAGGCAGAGGGGACAAAGGGGGAAAATTGGAACAACCATAATAGCATAATCAATAAAATATATTAAAAAATAAGCCTTCCTTTCCGAGCCTGTGATCGTAGAGTCAGGTGCAGAGGTTCTTACTTGTCACTGGGAGTGTAGTCAGCTGAGACACCTGTTGTAATGTAGCTCCCTTGACTTCACTCCTAGAGATTCTGATTCATTAAAGCTGAGATAAGCTCCAGGAATTTGCATTTATTTTATCACAATTCCATGTTATGCTAATATAATAGGCCAAAAATTGTATGTTGAGAAAACTGGTATATAGATATGTAAACATAAATTACACCGTCTATAAGTTTTATAAAAGGACTGTGAGTAACATACTTTTGGAGATCGACATGTAATTAATAATATTTATAATAGAGGTAGGTACCTGTGCAGTGTTTTAGGAATAAAAATGATAAAATAATTGCTTTGCCACTGAAAAGTATAAATATGCAAGATGATAGAACTTAATGACATTTCAGCTGAATCTGGAAGAATTCATAAGATCTACCAGTTGGGGACAGAGAGAAATGGCTCTACGGGGACAGAAATGGTTTTATTTTTGTGGCCTAAAATACAGTAAATTTTTCTGGGCTATTCCGTAAGTTATGGGAATTCTATATTCTGAACTGATGCCAGTGTATAAAGGAATTTGTATTCCTGTAGAGTTTTTTAATTTGTGAACGTAAAAGCTTGACTGTTGTGAAATACAAATGAGTTTGACAGCAAATCCATTGATACTTCCCACCCACTGCCAAAAGCTACCCCTGCTCCTCCCAACCCCCCTTTCTGTCTCTGTAAGTGACACCACCACCTGAACATTGCTAAGTCTGAACCCTGGGAATCCTTCTGACTCTTACTCACCACATCCCATTCATCCCCAGATTCTGCTGTTTTCAGATCTAAAACTGACCCTAAATCTAACCATTTCTGTCTGTACTGCTCAAGATGAGCCCAAGCTAGCTTTGCATCATCTCTTACTTGTCTCCCCCAAATTTACTTTTACCTTTCCACAAAACCATGATTATTTTCCATCAAATTCTAGTATTTATAGTCAGTGAATGAATTATTCATATTGTCATAAAATTGTTTATAATTTGTAGGGAGTGAATTATATTTTTCATGAACTTAAGCCATAGATTGGATCATGACAAACTTCTACTAAAAAAGCATCTCGTAGCTTCTTAGAGAAAATGGAAACAATTGTATTTCTTACTGTGCCTCACACAGCAATACCATGTTGGCCCTGCCTGCCTGTCCTCACTCAGCTACTCCCACATCGTAGCCTCTCTGGCCTCCTTTGTCTTAGGGACAGGCCACACTCTTACCTTACTTCTTAGCTTTAAAATGTGCTCTTCCCTCTGATCCAGGATGGTCTGCAGCCTCTTCTCCTTATTCATATTCTTTCTCATATGATTCATTCTTTCTGATTATTCAGCCTCAGCCCAGATACCACTTCCTTAAAAAGAAGTTTTCTCAGACCACCCCATCTATTTAATGCTGGTGTCTTGAGTCCCTTGATCCCACTTACCTTCTCTTACCTTTCTTGTAGAACCTGCCATTAAGTGAAATTATTTTCATTTGTTTATTTTATGCTTACCCCGCCTATAGTTGGAAGGAGAGCAGAACCTGGCCTGTGCCATTCAGTGTTGCATCCTTGGTGATGGACCAGGGCCTGGAATGCTGTGAGCTGGAGAGCAGGACAGTGTGTTAGCCTGGCATGCACCATTGGATTGGGACGAGGTCTCATACACTTTTGAATGTCTGGACCTGACCCAGTGCCAGGCAATTTTAAAATTTGGCAAATGTTTCTGTAATTGAATGGGACTGGATGTGAACTTATAAGTTCTCAGGGTTTGAGGGGATTTAAGACATCATTCTGCCCAACTCCTTAATTTTACTGCTGAGATATGAATTCTTATGTCTTAGATCATAACCTGATTTCTAATTCAGCGAGACCAGACAATAATGTTTTTGCTTCTTAGTTTAATGTTTTCCTCTAAACCATAATGCCAAATAACATTTCCACATGTATTTCAAGAACTCTTAGAAAATACATTCTTATTTCTTATGTGTAAATTCTTAATATGTAGTTGAGCAAGTGTATCCATAGATAATAGTGTTTTATGACCACTGTTCAAGAATAAAATATTGGTCCATTGATCAGAATGGAATTTGTTATTGACACACTGTGCAAGAAGCAAGTTGCCATGATTATGCTTCATTGATTCTAATTTACAATTAGAATAGCAACAATAACTGCTGTTGTATTGAATACTATTCAGGGAGTGATTCATACGTTCATATTTTTATTACATTCTTGTGACCAGTAATACAATAAAATATTTCCAGTATTTTGCATGGTTTTATTAGTAGTCATAGAAAAATACACTCTTTAACCAATACTGAGGACAGTTTCTTGTGTTATATTTTGAGTATAACTGTGATCGGTGTTAATCTATAATTTCCCAATATTACATTGCCTGTTATAGCACAAATTAATCCTAGAATGATTTCTTGTATTTATAATTTAAATATTGTACTTTGAAAAAGGTATAGAATGGTCCTTTCAATAGTGGCATTTTTCATCAATGCCAGACTTAACTGTGCCTCAAATCTCAATTCTAGCAATAACATTAATGGGCTTATACAATGAACATTAGAGAGAAGGACATACCAACATGTATAAAACAAATGAGTAAAATCAAGAACCAAACTGAAGTATTTTCTGTCTGTTTCTGCATGTTGGTTACTTTAAATTGCTTTTTAAATATATTTTTGTCAAAAAAGATGGTCTGTCTCTTTGCTGTGTGCTAAGCACAAGTCTGATAATCTTTGGTGTACTTTTATTTATTTATTTTTCTCAACTGGTATCAATTAACCTCAAATACTGTGGCAACCAGATGCTGTTATAACAGTTCATCAAGTATTTGTACTCTTCTAGATTTTCTGAAGGACATCGACATTATGTGAAAATTTTCTCACCTTGTATTTATCTATATTGTCGTAAGTCTAATTCTAGCTAATCACATCTTTGTAGTTTATTTTAATAAAAGTTATAAATCCCTTTACATTTTACTTGATTGAGACCTAGCACGATACAGATAGAAGGGTATGGTTTTCTCCGAGGACCTAGAACTTTCGATTTATTCAGGCGAATTGTTGTTACCCTCACTGACCGGAGCTTCTATTCCTGTTCCTATCACTGCTTCATTATGCAGGAATGGCAAATTTGTTTTTCTAGATGGCTCTGAATAACATATTGATTCTTTACATATTATAGGTAAAAGGGGAAATTATTTCCACATTTTTGTCATTAAAATAATTAAAATAGTTCTTAGGGATATTTACCTTTATTTTTCTTAAAACATAAGCACATTTTTGTCAGTTATTTTTCTTTAGAATTGTCCTCGAACACAAACAGACACAAAAGGTCAGGATCTTATTTTAATTTATTCATAATTTTATTCCAACAAAATTGTTTTCAAAATTGATTTCTGAAATGTTCATTAAAATTGGTGCCCTTTGGGACTTACCTTAGTCAGTTCTAATTGCTTAAATAATTACATACTGCACTCAGATTTTTCTTTGGGTACTAGCTACATTCAAAGTAGAGCTTTAAAGTTTTTTTAAAAAAAGAATAACTCAGTAGTCAGTAAATGTTTAATACATGACAACTGCCTAAAATTCAGAACGACTCTTTCGAGTTTTACATTTTCCTTTGAATCAATAGAGTGGCATCACATCATGGCACATGCTCAGTCACATCCTGACATTTATGACAATGACAATAGCACTTCTCTAAAGAATTTGATATTTTACACAACATCAATTTGTGTTAAGGGAATGCAAGGTTATCTTATAATATAAATCATTTATACTTAATATAAATACATTTATGAAAATCAGAGCAATGAATCAGCACATTTAAAACTTTACCTGTGCTATGAATTTCTATATGATTTTGCATAGACATTTTGCTTTAAATTAATATTCAAATCATTTTATCTTTTTCCAAATGTAGAAAAATTATGGGAAAATAACTCCAAAGTGTTCTTTATGGCATAGATAAAGTAATTGGGCTTAGCAACTTGTGGTAAAGTATGGATGATGGACTAAAATTTGATTTTTCATAAACTTTTTTGCACAACCTAACTGCTTTAAATTTTGGAGGCTAGTATTTTGTGTTTTTAAGTATTCATTCAAAATTTTAAAAGCAACTGATGTAAAAAAATTCATTTTAGGCCAGACATCACAGAGACCTTCAACGGCAAATTTACCACTTTCTAACTCTGTGAAAAGAAGCTCCAGCTGTCTTTCCATCTTCTCTCATCCTCTGCCAAGAAGTGCCCCTGTTCAACCATTGTCTAGAGCTACTTCTGAAACATCAGAAATGAAACATATTCATATTACTGATCATAGTGAGCCTTTCTTAGACAGTCTGGAAAAAGAATCAGATGTGCTGAAAAATCTTGCAGGTAATGTTATTATTTTTTTCACTGCAGACATTGTTAACTTGGTCTTCTGCCTGATTCTTTGTATTGTGCTTGCTCTAAGAAAACAAGCTAGCAAACAAAAAAGCCTCTCCTGTTCCCTCTTTAACCAGCAACTTCTGTCTCTGTTTTCTTGGATATCCCTCAAAGTCACCCTGAAAATGTTACATGTGGATGCCAACCATGCAAGAGATAGTCCCTTAGGTCACATAATACGTGATTAAGTTGTATTTCATAGGAAACTTCATGTGGGCGGAAAAATAATTTTTTTCTCATTTTTGCAAACCCATCGAGTGGTTAATCTCTATAGCTTTATGAAAGCTGCTGCCCCAAATTTTTGTTAGAGAATTAAGCTGTTAGATCTTTTAAAGCAGCATTTCCTAAGCCTCAGTGTATACAGGAAGCCTCCAGGGATCTTGTTAAAATGCAGATTCAATCTCGGTATGTCTGGGGTGGGCCCAGGTTCTGCCTGTCTAACAAGTACCCAGTTGATACAAATGCTGGTGGTTGGCAGTGCAGTTTGAGGAGAAATTATATCTGTGCATTTACTTTCTGAACCTCAGTGGATGTAGTCTAGTAAATCATATCCATATTCTTGAATGTAGGAAAGTCTGGTTTAGTAACAAAACTTCACGGGAAGAAATCTTAATTTCCATCAGAAAGTTTGTTTGTGGCATTTGGTAGAAGCCAGATGCAAATCTAAGAAGCAGGCCAGAAACTTCTCTGGGCCTGTGTGTTCCACCGTGGCTCTTCCCTTGGTTTTGTTTGTTATTGTTGTTTAGAGATATTAATCTTGGATTTATGACTTTGCTATTTTCCTAAAAATAATACATCTTGGTTTTTGAAAAATTCAATCAAATTTATAGTTAGAAGGATGGATAGATTGTAGGAAATATGGTAATAATTTTATTAAAAATAGGCTTATGTCATATATAGTATTTTTAAGTTATACATTTATTTACCCAATTTAATAAAAAATAATCAAAACTAAAGGAAATGATAAATTTCAAATAAATATTTTTATCACAGCAAATATTAAGTTAAACTATATGAAGCTGCCTTTTGTTAGACAAAAATAATAGTGGGATATTGACAATTTTATATGGTCCAACTTGTAATTTTTACAAATACCCCTTTAAAAAATTAAGGAAAAGGGTAAAAACAGGTAGTGAGCAATTGGGGCCATTTTTAGCTCTGTGATTTATTTTAGATGGTAATAGTTAGATCCCTACAATAAAATATAAGAATTCATTTATTTCCTATATATTACACATGTAATTATAGGTAGTATTGACTATATCCCTGTTATAGTGATGGTGTCGGTGGAGATCAGGCTCTTCCACGGACCAGGAGGAAACATTTTAAGGACCCAGCACAGGAGAGTGTGGTGTGGCAAGATGGTTTATTATGGTGGAAATAGAGCTGCCACCTGGGTTTCCAATTTCTCATCTCCGTCTGTCTCACTGTGGAAAAAGTCCAACTACGTCTTCAGCAAGGCTAAAACAAAAGACGGGGTCCAGAGTTTCTGCTTCATCATAAAGCTTAGTCGATTGGAGCCCCTGCAGTCTTCTGTAGGCCTTGGTAGCTGCTGGATGGACCCACATGGTCATGTGTTCCACAGCAAGAGAGAACGTGCTAATGCGAGGGATAAGTGTGGATCATGAGCAAGAAGGAGAGGGATAGAGAGAAAGAGAGAGAGGGAGAGCATTTCTTTGTTCCCCTGGGATTATATTAGTTTGGGTTCGGAACAGGCCAGATGCGTTTTCAAAATGATGAATCAGTTTCCCAAGCTGTCACAGACTTTTTGATAGGTTCACCCCCTAGTTAGACTGACCTCCATAGTCCAGCACCTCCCCCTGCTTCCCCTTAGCAATACAGTACTGGAGGGGTGAGGAGAGGAACGTTAATCACCCTGGTGAAGCAATACTACAGTCCCCTGGGTTGTGAAGCTGTAGCTTCCTGGTGAAGCAAACAGGTTTATGCTCCCCAGTTTATTAAACTCAATGTCCATTCCCTTTGTTTTCTTTATCGATAAGTACTTAACTACCTATTGTAACAGTGATGGTATAACTTTTTTTATTTTTTCAAATTTTTCTTTTTACATTTTTTAGTACAAATTTTATTGATTAAATGATCAGAACCATCATTTTACTACAGCTTCCCAATTTTGAGCTTTTAATTTTGATTCTTCTCTACAAGATTTGATTAGGGCATTCTTGAGGGTTTCTGTATGTTTTACCTTTATGGTATACTGGCAAGTTAACTCGATGAATTCAGTAGATGACAAATTTTCCCTTGCACTTGTAGACATTTCTCCATTGTCATCTGTCCCTGAATGTGGTGCTAGTTAGTCCCTTAGCACAGTTTTTTCCATTAAATTTTGTTTGTTTGTATGTGATTATCAAATAGTTTTTCCCCCAGGAAGAGCTCTTGATAGCTCAATGTCCTGAGTTCTTTCAGGTTTCAGAATGCCTGCTGCCTTTATATTACAGTAGCAAATTGGCTGAGGTCACCTTGAACTTTTTAGTTCACCCTCTCTCCTGCATGTGACAGGCTTCTTTTCTCATTGGATGCTTGAAATTTTTAAAATATTTAAAAAATTTAGTAACAGAACCAGGATTGTGTTTCAGTTTTAGTGGTCCAACATTTCTTAAAACAGAGGCTTCTCTTTCTGTCTGCAAAATAAGTTCCTTTTTATTCTCAGAGAATTTTCTACTATTGTATATTTAAATTGCTTTTTTGTTCCATTTGGTTGTCTCCTGCTGCGAAACCTATTTTGTTTATGTTGGATCCTCTTTGTACAGTGTATTTACTTATATTTTCTTCAACTATTTTATCCATGTTTTACTTCCCTTTGCATTTACTGTGATTCTCTCAAGCGTGGCTTCTGTGTCAGAATTTCAATTTTCAGAACTGGCTGTCGTCCATTCTTTATTGATTGACTTAATAAATTAGCTCTCCAAAGGTATTTCTTTGGCTTTATTTAATAATGTTTTTCTTTGGTATAATTTCAAACTTAAAGAAAATTTGCAAGAATGCAAAAATAGTACAAAGAACATCTGTATACACTTTACTGAATTAACCACCTGTTCCCTTTTTGCCCTTGCTGTGTGTACGTACGCACAGCCCTTTTTTTCACAACTACTTAAGAGGAAGTTGTAAACATCGTGACCCTTTCTCAAAAATAATTTGTGTGCATCTCCCAAGAACAAGTATATTCTTTTACACAACCATAGTACAATTATCAAAATTAGGAAATTTAACATTGATATATAATGATTCTGTAATCCACAGTGCATATATAATTTCTGAAAATTGTTTCAATGTTCATTATGGTTTTTTTCTGGTACAGGATTTAATTCAGAAGCAGTTTACCATTTAATCTTTTCCTTTTTGATGTTTGACATGTTTGATATATGAGACTCTTTTGAAAAATATTATTTTTATTATTTCTTTTGTAATCAAAAGCTTTATGGGGAATTTTCTTATGTTCTTGATCTCTTTACTACCAGATTGGTCTTTTATTTTAAACATTCTTTGCATGCTATGGATTCTTGGATTCTAGTTTGTTTGCATAGCGAGTTGCTATCATTTTTCATATCTTATTTGTTCATATTTATTTTGGATAGCTTTGCTCATATCGTCTCTCTTTTCTGGTGTAGTATGATGAGATTTTCCATGCAATGCTTTCCACCTGTTCTGAGATATGTCAGTTTTCTCTTTGGAGCTACATTTGTGGGTTGGATAGTGTACTTTTCTGTACTCTACCAGCTCAGTGTCCTAGAGAGGATAGATAAAGGGCTGGAGAACTCAACCTCCTTTGTTGGAGAATCTGGGTTGTCTTACCTTTTTTGGATTTTATTAAATGCCAAATTCCACTGAACCTGGTTTCAAGTTTCTCCCTGTGGGGTCACCTGCAGGTTTCAGTTTTCTTGCCTCTTCTAAAATCTTGTGGTGGGTACATAGAGGCCTTAAAAATATTTCAAAAGATTTCTTTTTCCCCTTCTACTTTTCTCCAAATTGGTGCTGTAGTAGTAAGACTTGTCAGCACTTTCGATGATGCTCCTTTTCCTATTAGTAGCATATAGAGTGGAGTAGGGGGAGGGGAAGACAGCAGTAGCACTCAGCAACACCTCAGTGAGTCTTCCTTTTATTTCTTTGGCTGCCCCTTGTCAAAGTTTATTACATGAACTTGTTTTCTTTCTTTGTTTGGATCTTGATGGTTTAATTTAATTTTTATTTTTATGCTTTTTCTACTTATTTTATTAGAAGTTGAGAAATGAGAGTTTATGGTCCATCGTTACCCATCCATCATTCATTTACTTTACTCTAAATCACTAAAAATCAAATGCATATCTCCTAGGAGGTAATAATACTCACACTAAAAGCAAATTATAAAATGAAGCCTGTCTCTGGTGTGACCTGGATCTAAAAGGATAACCATATAGTTTTCAGTCAGAAAGTAAAGGATTTCTTATTTTGATAGATTGATAAGCTCCATTATTTACAAATGAAATACAGCACTTACAAACACTAGTCTTTTTGTATGTGTGTTTCTAACCACTGAGCTTTCCTTTGCCTTTGTCACTTTTATTCTTACATGCTTCATGGGAGCCCCGTGTCTCTCATTTTCTTATACACCAGTCCCAGCATTTTCACTAGAACATGTTACTTTATATATGAAAGCAGGCACACACAGCATAGCCTGTGACCAGCTGGGCTTTTCCTCCAGGCCATGAGCAGAAGGCTGTCACTTACACACATTTGACCCAGGCACAGGTCTTTTTTGGGGGGGGGAAGATTAGCTCTGGATGAGTTCACAGCTTTGAGATGCTCTCTTGGAGCTGAGGAAGTAAGAAGATGGTATATCAGCTGAATCAACCCAACAGTCAGTGAGGTGACAGATGCTGTAGTGAAATCAGGCCCTATTCTAGAAAATTCACTGATTCTGCACAAGGCATTTTGTATTCTGTTTAGCATCAATGGGCAGAAAAATTCCACCCACATTTTGCTACTTACGATGCATTCTGGCAAAACTCTGGAGATTTGGTCTCCCGCAGACACAGCTACACAATTTGACTCTTATACAAATGTAAATGTGTTCACATCCCTGTGAAAGCTGCATTTTTGTGAGCAGCTAACCTTGACCCGTTTTCTGTAGCCTCTAGGATGCATCTACTTCTACTAAGTTCTGTGGAAAACAGCTTTGCAAAGGAGCTGAAAGAAGAAAAGACAGAAAATAACTACATTAAGTAGTGTTTTTCCTTTGATTCAGATTACTGCGGCTGATATTAGATATTAGATATTAGCCATTTCAGAAGCAGGTAGGGTGGTGACAGCAGGGGAAGTGTGTGTGCAGACACAGCTTCCTGCTGAATCAGGAAGGAAGGGCAGCGGAGCGGGGTGATGGAAGCCAGGCGCCAGGGCAGGGGAATCCAAAGGGGGAGCTAATTTTGAAACAAAACAGTCACTTATTAGCTTGGTGACATTGGGCAAATTATTTTCTCAATCTCACTTTGCATCAGTTTCTATGTATAAAAGATGGATATAACAGGCCCTATCATAAAATGGTCCAGTGGTTGAATTCAAATGTGTATTAAATATTATATTTAATAATATATATTGAATATGTTATATTTACTTCTCTCTGCACAAAGAAGTTTGGGTCTTGACAAGCCACTGGGGGTTTGACGTAGAAACACACATGCATGTACACACATGTGAACTCAGCAGTGCCTCACACATTAGCACGTCCTGGAAAAAATGTTAAATTGACTGTTTTTCCCATGGCCCATTTCCTATCATTGGGCCATGTAGAGGTATCTGGAATACCAATATTCTCTTACCCTGTGGGAAACTGGGAAAGAAGATAGTAGTCTAAAGCTAGAGAATTAGATTCTGGAACACAGTAGTTTATGGTATTGGTGAACTAAAAGAACTCAGGCGTGGTTTCAGTTCTTTGAGTGTGTGCTTGCATGAATTTCAACAAGTTGCCAATCCCCTGTGGGCCCCTAATTTTTTAGTCTCCAACAAGAGGGGATGAAACAAAAATTTAGCTGAAAATCTTTTGTTTTTTTCCAAATTAGCCTTAGATAAGCTGTAAATGTAAATAAGACCTAGTAAAGCCTTCCTGATTACTGTAGCAATCCTCCTGAAGCCTACAGAATTTCTCCATGTATCATAATATGAAAATCAGTGGGCTGAATAATTTTGAGGACACTTTCAGTTATAAATGTATCGAAGTCTATTTTACAGCAGAAATAATCTAAGTTACTTTTAGTAGGGAACTCTGCTTGCTCAAAAACTTTAAATTAATACTAAGCCACCAAAAAATATCTCTTCAGTCACGTGTATAATACACTGTGGTTTGGTGTTTGGTTGTTCTGATCAGGGAGATGTTTCCTTGGCACTTTCATCAGAATGAAGGGAAGAATAGTGCCCAGTAATGTTAACAGTTGTGAAAATCATCATAACCTTATGTACAAGTTAGATGACTTCTTGGAATTCTATCAGTGACAAAAAGAAGGCATCATGGCCTTTTTAATATACTAATCCTTTATTTATATACTTGAATTTTGGGTAGTTTCTATAAAGATATGTTTGCTTATACAATTGCTTACTTGCACTATTTTTTCCTACCTAGGCTGATTCTTAGGCCAGCTTTATGAAAAGGGAGATTTAAGGTTCCCCCTTTTGCATACAATTGCTTATTATCTACCCAAACAACCCAAGGAAGCCAGAACAAAAACAGAAACAAAAACAAAAACAAATGGGCAACTTTGCCAAGACTAACCTTTGCCTCAGACTTTGTGGAGGTAAAGCTTTTATTTCTTAGAAGACAAAAAGATAATAAAGTGTTTAACATGCAGATAAGTTGAAGAGTTGCACAAGATATTCTCACTTTAAGAGGATTGCTTGTCTTTCTTTGTAATTTTATAAATTATCAGAATATTTGACAATTTTCTTAAGTATAGTGTGTTTTGAAAAATCTAGATGGCTGAGATAAGACAGTCAGAGAAAGACAAATGCTAAATCACACATGGAGTGTGGGGTGAGATGGGAGGAGGAGGACAAGGGTGGAAAGTGGGGACAACTGTAATAGAAAAACAATAAAAATCGATAAAAAAGAAAAGTAAAATTAGTTGGTAATAATTCTTATATCATTGGATTGTTATGAGCATTAAATTGATGATATATAAAATACTTAAAATATTGCCTGGTTCAAGGCAAGCACTAAGTTAATGTTATTTACTACTCTAAAAAACAAAACAAAACCAAGAAAAAAGCAAATGTGGAGTCTACAAAAGCTAAACTCATAGAAACAGACTGGAATGGTGGTTGCCAGGGGCTTGAATGTGGAAACTGGGAGATGTTGATCAAAGAGTATAAACTTCCAGTTGTAAGACGAAGAACTTCTGAGGATCTAAGGTACAGGGGATGATTATAATTAATATTACTATATGATATACTTGAACATTGCTAAGAGAGTAGATCTTCAGTGCTCTCACCACAAAAGAAATGGCTTTTGTGTGATGTGATGAAGGTATTAATGAACACTGTGGTGGTCATCGTTTTGCAGTATATGATTGTTTCAAATCAACACACTGTGCACCTTAAACTTAAATGTTATGTGTCAGATAGATCTTAATTAAGTTGAAAAAATATAATTGGGTAATTTGCCAAAAAATCAGTATGATTAAAATAACTTGGAATCTCAAAGCACGTTTATCTCATACTCTACCCATCCCACAAACACTGGGAAATTTAGAGATGATTAAAAATCTCTGATCCTCTTTGTATTACTTATTATTCACTCTGAATACGCTTTTCAAGCCATTTGCTGTGCATTTGTTTCTTGAATTTATGTGTTGACAATTCGTGAAATAAAATATTTCAGGTCCTTCAGAAGAACTTTACAGCCTGACTGCAGAAGATTCACCAGACTTCATCTACAATTCGCTCCATATAAGTCAGTCTGCCTTAGATTTCTTTAAGATCTCACGTGCCATGGGCCCCTGTGGAACAGAGGAACCGAGGTGGGTTACACCTGCAGCTTATGTGTAAACATGATGCCTAGTAACCATTTTGACAAGCCCCCAACTAACTAATTCATTTTATTATGTAAGGAAAGATTGTCCTCATGTGTGTACTTTATAAAGGCATTCTTTGTAAAATGTTCGTGTTCTTTGCTGACTTGTTATCAGGATTTAGTAAAAGGCTTATGAAGGTGTTACTATAATGTGAAGAGATCATTTTGAGCTGCAAAACATATGTCAAAAATAAAAAATTGAAATTTAATTATACTTCAGCATTCCTTTTTAAGTTGAAAAACAGTTGCCTTACATTAATTAATTAAGCTAATAATTTTAACACTTTGCATTGATAGAATCCTACTCAACGTGAATAAAGTTTTTAGAATAGAATATTGAGAGGAATCTTTCTGAAAATTGAGTCCAGGCTGTTAATGATGGTGTATTTTAATTCACTATCATTTCTTTCTTTTCTCACATAAGGTAAGAATTTTTAGGGATGGTGATCAGTTTCTAGGGAATGTAGGTAATATTAATAAATGCTTAAGAAAAGTATTTTATCATGTCACTGCACTATTGAAATAATGGAATTCCTTAAAAAAGACGGAGGGTTTATTTCAGAAGGTTTATTAAAAATGTAAATGAAAGTCCTTCATATGGTAAACTCTGTTGACTGAGTTGAAGTCTAACATTGAAACAAAAGCAAATCAAGAGTTTTACACTCTTTTTTCTGAATAAGGAAATCATTTAGCTGAGGTTCTTGGATTTTTGTATTTCGAACACCACTTAAAATTTATTTTCAAAAGGGGTCAGTCTAAAGCTGCTATTTTTTTCTTAAAGCTATTAAAAATAACGTAACTAAACCTATCACTTAATGTCACCATCATTTCATAAAAGAAAGGACATTTAATACCAAAATATATGGGGAACACATTAACAGAATAAAACAGTTCTCTAAAATTAAGATAATCATGTAAAAGTCATGACCAGTGAAAAATTTTTATCACAGTTAAATCTGTGCTGGATCACAGATGAGAGTGTAGGCTCTGATGGTTTAGCCTGTGTTGGACATGAGAAAGAATGCTTATATCCATCATGGGATCTCAAGCAAGTATTTTATATTACTTAGTGGCACACATGGGCTGACAATCTAAATAACTTAGACCAAAACATATGAATTTTGCAGGCTCCCTTCTCCTCGCCACTCTACCTTTTTTTCTCAAACCTTTGTATGCTATACCCTAGAGGCTCCAACAGAACTTCCTCTTAACAATAAAATGCAACAAGATAAAATAACTCAATAATCGTTGCCATTAAATCTGGTTTTTGTTGAGAACTGCCCTGCCTGTTTTCAGGAATTGTAACTGCTTCCCATGACTAAGTGAGCGACCTCTGAAATGTGAGCCACGGGAGACAAAGCTTGTCTCTGGCAGCAAGCGCTGCTTCTGCTTCTTCCCCTGTGTTCAAAGCATGGTCGATGTCCCTGGTGGGTATGACTCCTCAGAGAGGGGCAACCTAGGCCAGACATGATCACTTGGGAGGCCATCCTGGAAGGACTCAGGGGCAGGGGGGCTGCAACAAAGAGGGAAGGATGGATCCTCATCCCCTGGCTATTGTGACATAGCCTGAGTCCCCATTTCTGTGTGGGAGAAGTGCTTCCTGGCTGCAATCCACTTAAGCCTGAAAACCTATGATGGGGAAGGCCGTGCAGCCCTGTGCTGAAAAGGGCAGATATCCAGGGTAAATGAGGCTTAAGAAAGAATATGTAAAAATCCTGTGAAGCCTGTTTTGTTCAGAATGTGCTCATTTAAATGATAAGGATCCAAGCAAGAAGTTTGTTCCTCAAAGTTTTATGGCTCTTTAGCTATCTGACCCTGACTGAGAATAAACCCTCAAGGTTCTTTGAATGTTATGTATTGTCTGATTCTCACTTATATTCTTGTGCACAGAAACCCAATAAAAGCCCCTTGAGCAGGGGGCTCTTGGCCCTTCCCCTTGGAGGGATGCTGCCACCTCTCCTCCCCAAGCAGATCATGTCTTGGTAGTTTCACTTTCATCCTTGGTGGACAGGGGGACTTTTGGGGCAAAGTTGGCCCCACAGGTTTTGACATATCTTGACTGGCCATCCACATAGTCCTAATTTACTGTACACAAAAGAGGCGATTTACCTGGCAGTCTATTCATTGGGATTTTATTAAACAGCCAATTGTAATGATGAATGTCCTTAATGGTGACCCTGAGGCTCAACAAGTTTCTGAAGTGTCTTCTGAATCATCAGTGAAAGACATGATCAGAGACTGTAAAATCTTCTTTCTTTGGTATCACTATGGCTATATTTCTTGGGAGAAGGAGAATGATGAGAATTTCTCATTAGAAGGAGGCTTGGTATATTGGGCAAGTTGAAAATTACGGCCCCAGTCTGAGGAAGCCTCCTCACATCTGCCTGCCTCCAGTGACTTCTGCGTATGTAGTATTGATCAGAAGATAAATGAAGAGTTGAGACCTGGTTCTGTATATTGTGTATTGATCTTTTAATGTATTTCCAGCTCTTCTGAAAAAGATACTGAAATTCAGTCTTTCCAGACACTTTTTGAGAGCAGCACAGATGAAGAGAAAGAGGAATTTTCGTGACAAGCAACTTGTCATCGCACTACCATGGCCAAAGAGCACCTCTCAGGGTCATTTGTCCATTACTTTTTACTTTTTGCACCCAAAGGAAACAGAAAAAAGTTAACAACTGATAAAAGTAACCAAGTGATTACTCTTCTAGGTGCTGGAGATGTTCACTATTATTAATGTCTGACATTTTAACATTTACAGACTAATAAAAATTAGTAAAATTATAACTCTAAGGAATTTTTCTTCTAAATGACATATCATGTATCAAATAATCTATATTGCAGATCAAATTAGTAAAATTTGGTGATTTAAACAGTTATAACTCTGTCTATAGAACATACCATAGACTATGGCATTATCACATTTTAAGTTATGTTGAATTGTCAAATTATAGTTTAAATAATTATGTCATTAAGAGTGTACATTAATGGCCAAACCATACTTGGCAGTATCATTAATTGTGCCTGGAATTCATTTTTTACTTTGGTAGTTAGAGGGTTTTTTTGCTAGTATTTTTATATTTATAGAAGTTCTTATAGCTTCAAAAGTTTCTGCTAGAAAAAGGGAAAAGGACTCATGGACATGTTCAACAGTGTGGTGATTACTGGGTGGGAGGCAGGTATAAGGGGACTAAATGGTAATCAAAAAATACAATGAAAAACAAAAATAAATAAATATTAAATAAAAGTTTCTGCTAGAAAACAAAATGAGGACCCAAATTAAAGTTGATATAATACTTAACCTCCATTTTGATAAAAAACAAAAAATCCCCAAAGCACTTTATTTTAGGAGGGCCAGCGTGATGGTTCATTTTATGTGTCAACTTGGCTAGGCTACAGTACCCAGATATTTGGTCAAACATTATTCCAGCGGTCTCTGCAAAGGTATTTTTAGATAATATTAACATTTCAGTCAGTAGACTTTTAGTAAAGCAGATCACCTCCCATAATGTGAGTGAGTCTCACCCAATCAGTTTAAAGGCCTTAAGAGAAGAAAGATGGGGGTCCTCTGAGGAGGAGGGAGTTCTGCTTTCAGACTTCCTCCAGACCCAAGTGGCAGCATCACCTCTTTCCTGAGTCTCCAGGCTGCCAGCTGCCCCACAGATTTTGTATTTGCTAGCCTCCACAGTTGGTTCTGTTTTTCTAGAAAACCTTAACTACTACAGTCACTTTGAAGCATGGTTGTGATAGCCAAAGAAAATAGTAGATATGGAAGTTATTTTACTAGTCTTGGTTAGTAACGGATACTGGGGTTGGTGGGTGTTCAAAGTCTTATAGGATCTTATAATTCAGGGTCTTAAGAGCAGAAGAAGATAGAGACTTCTACAGACTTTTTAGGAGAGCTCCCCTTAAGGAGTTTGTGGACTTAGAAAAACATCCCTGCAGGTTGGTTGTGCCATCACTGTGGCACAGTCATGTATCGGTGTTCAAACTTTTTCTTCTCTGTAATTCTGATTGTAATACCTTATGCAAGACTCATGGTTGCTGAGTGTGAATTCATCTTGGCTAGTTTTTCTATGGCATCAATAAAGTGTACTGACATGCACACACATCATCTACTGACAGGATTGAAAATGCTGGGGAAGAGACCTATAGCCGTTTCTATGTCTTTTAACCAAAAAAAGTCTTTTATTAAATGTGATTAACATAAATAAACAAGTAGTAATCATCAAAATCAATCATACTACCAGAATAAAATTTTTCAAAAGAAATATCTTAAACTCAAGTATGTTACTTCCCAGTAATTTTCACCGTCCTCTGAACATTTCCCCTATTGCCAGCCCGTAGAGGCACAGCGTGAGTCACTCTTGAATCTTCATCCCTTTCTCAAAAGCCCTTCTGTCATCTTGTCTTGTGGCTGCTAGCTTTCTGAATTTTAGTATCCATAGTTAAAATAGGGATTGCCTGTTCAAATATGGTAGTTTTTTTCCCCTGTATATTTGCTCAGGTTTAACTTTTCTTGACTTTCCCTACATTCCTTGGCTCTGAGACAACATTGCCCTTGTACTTTTGATGAAGAACATTGTTTTGCTGAATGAAATATGTAACTCCAGTGTCTTTCTCAAAGTGAGAGGAGGTATTCTATTCTCATGAGGAAAGTAGGACCACTAAAACTCTTTCTGTGTTTTCAGTCATAGCTGGAGTCTTCTGTGAACTAGCCCAGAAAGAAATTTTGTAAAATTCCGTTGCCTTTTACAACATAAGAATTCTGAAATAAAAATTTAAGCTGATAGATAATTAGTTGTCATCGGTGTATTTCTGAGAATTTGGGAAAGAGCATACCATTGACTTTGTCATTTGACTTTCAACATGGCATTGGAGTTAAGGAGGGCCCTCTGCGACAAGCAGAGCAGGCCCCCTTCTGCCTTTATTTGCTTCCCATAACCACACATTTAGAAAAGTTTTTTAATTCCTTTGCCATTAGGCTAATGAGGAAATAAAACTAAATAAGATTAGAGCCTTTGCCTGAAGCAGCTGCAATGTGTTCTCTCATTTTGAAGCTCAAGCTTAAAATTGCTGTTTAAGGCAAGCATCTACTTCTGACTGTTGAATTGAGTTATAGACATGTAGAAAAATCACAGCCATATTCCTAATGCTGGAGTTAGGATGGTGCGCCTCTCACAGCTAGTATACAAACAATCATGTGATATTACCTGCATGTTGGGATTTAGTAGTTTATATTCAGACTTGCCTGCGGGGGTAATAGCTGATGAAATTCTGTACTTTTACAGGTGTGGACATACACATGATGCAAACAAATTGACATTAAATTATGTTCGATAGTTTTCATCTGTTTTCATCATTTGTTGAAGTCCTTCACCTCGAGTGCACTCTGAGTGGATCACACAACACCAAACCAGGGATTCACTACCCTTAAGACCATTAAATGTTGTTCTTAACTCTGCGATGGTCAGAAAACTTTTTTTTTTTACAATAAATGTTACAAAATGGCTTCATCTCTGTAATAGGGCACTCAGGTATTTTGAATAATGCCTTAATTTATTTAAAAAACCTTCTCTTTGTCCTCATGATCCAATTGTTGGAAAGATCTTGAGCAACACTTATACACTTATCTCATCTCATTTTTGGCCACATGCTATTTCTTTAAGGTCTCAAAATGTACCTGCTCAATGAGACTTTCTCTAATTTCTGTCTAAATTAATTCTTCCTAATTTTTTTCATGGCATTCTACTTTTTCCTTTATAGCATCTATAATTATTTGTCTGTATTTTGAATGTATGTCTTCCAATTAGACTACACATTTCAATGGAGCATTGATTATGTCTATTAGACTGGGTTGTCATTAGTAATGAATAAATGAATGATGAATGATGAGTGCATGAATGAATGGATGAAGCAGGATCCAGCTGATAAGCAATCTCCATCCTTAATGTTTCCCAAAGGGAGGCAGTATGATATGTATAGTGGGAAAAACACAGATTATCAGCTTACACTGCTTACTAGCTGACAGATTACTTATGTGAAAGGATTTCTTCATCATGCATTGAAGAAAAAATATATGGACTTTAGCTCAAAAGAATGTTGTGTGAATCAAATGCAGTAATCAATGCGAAACACTTGTGGAGCTAGAACGTGCTCTGTCATGTTTATCGTCACTTTGTATGAACTTGGAGTCATTGAATATAGAGACAAATCAATGGATGGACTAATTAGTGAATTTAGGATAAAGATGACATGAATGACTCACAAAAATTGTTGAATATAAAAAATGGAGAATGGTTTCAGTGCTTTGGACAATTAGATTTAATGATGTATAAAGCTGGAATTTTATGTTGAAATTTATTAAATTTTATTTTAAATTTATTAAAAATATTTCTGAAACGTTCACTATGTACAGATTTCTTTCATCATGTGTAAGTTCAGGTTTTTAAATATTAACACTGCACTGGTACTTTATAAACACTTTGTGCATAATATTTTCAAAGAGGAGAAATTTTAAAAACATACTTTTTATACCTCCTAAGTCTGTTTTTTATAGAATATCCTGTTTCAGCATAAATTTCATTCCTAGTTATTTATTGCTAGCTACATTTTCATAAAACCAATCTTTATTTCCTCAGAATTCATCTGTGCCTCTACTTTATCCCCCACCTAAAGTCATAATTCTTTGTTAGTGACATCCTGATTGTTTTCTGGGTAAATGATTATGATGTTACAAACAAGATTATGACTTCAGTGGGGAAATATCCAGCAGGCATAAATGAACTTTAAAGAAATAAAGATGCTCCTTTTTTAATGCAAATATGTTTCATAGTTAAGAAAGAGGAGTGGATATTCTTAATGTTCTCTGTGAAATGACAGTTATGTTAACAATAAAAATATTTAATTGATTGATGGAGTTATTGTGTGGGTTTTTTTCAAATACAGATAATATTCAATAATGGTATGGGAATATAGTTCAGAAAAGGTCTCTATTTGCTTTTATTTATGAAAGGAGGAAACTATATGTGTATATATATATATACACACACATACACATTCATATATGTGTACCATATATACATATTCAAACATATACATGTATTTGTTTTTGGATAAATACATATACATACACATATATACATAGTCATATATATATATATACACATATACTTTTCTATATACAAATCCTTAGAAAGATTTCCAAGAGGAGAAATGTATATCACCGTTATTTTTAAATTAACCAGTCTTCATATATCCAATAGAAATGTGAAAGAGCCCTGGCTGGTGTAGCTCAGTGGATTGAGCATCGTCTTGTGAAGCAAAGGGTCGCTTGTTCAATTCCCAGTCAGGGCACATGCCTGGGTTGCAGGCCAGGTCCCCAGCAGGGGACACATGAGAGGCAACCACACATTGATGTTTCTCTCCCTCTCTTTCTCCTTCCCTTCCCCTCTCTCTAAAAATAAATAAAATATTAAAAAAGAAGTGTGAAATAATATTTAGCAAAAATTTTGTTATAATTTCACATTTTTATAGTTAATTGCCATATTCTTATAGAATGATTATTTTATT